CGATATAAACATCTCTGTCTTATTGTTATAATCATAGATTGTAATCAAAGAACTAAGTTGATCTGAGAGTATTTTTATGATTACAAATGCCTGTATGACGTCCTATTTTACTTTCTTTAGATGTTTCTCCCTCGTGTTTTCTTAAATTCTTTATGAATTGCTGTCTTACGCGTGTCCACCCTATGCTTCTATGCATGACATTCTACGCCTTCCTATGCTTCTCTTTCCTTGGATCCTTCCCTGCATAATCAGGTGGAGCAAGATGTATTTCTCTCCACGTGTAATATGTACGAGATATTCCAATTTTCTTGTTTTAATTGTATTTAAAATTTTTATTTCTTTATTCACCCTTCTTAGAACCTCTTTGTTTGTAACGTGTTCTGTCCACGATATTTTCAGAATTCTTCAGAGCAGCAAGGTGCAAAATATAGATTGCCATTATGGTCTCTAACATTTGAAATTGATAGGAACTCCAAGAAGAGGAAGGTCCACGAAACATAGAGATGTCAATTTGTTGTATGTATTGTAATGATTTCTCTTGCACTTGCCTCATTAGAAATATAGCACTGATGCATGATCTTTCCGACCTAAAACCTTGTTATTCTTCTGATATTTAGGATTATAATTTCATTAAGTTTCTTTGTTATCACTTTGGTTGTTAATTTTAGTGTTGTGTTTAATAAATTAATTCCTCTGTAGTTCTCCGGGTCCGATTTGTCTTCCTTTTTGAAGAGAGAAATTAGGATGCTCCATCTCTATTCTTGTGGTATTATGTTTTGTTTAGCGTCTCTAATTCCCGTGTCTCGGAATGCCATTTCAAAGGTAATAAATATTAAATATGAGGAACGCCAGCGCTTACTCTTGTCTAAGTCCATCCTTTATCTCAAAATCTTTCTTTTAAAACAATATTAGTTTTACCTTGTTTTAAAATTTGTCGGAAAGTGTAACGAAAAATATTTTCTTATTATTATCTTATATCTTTATTATATTAAATTAATTCGTGATTAAATAAAAAATCCAGACATCTGATAAGATGCACTTATCTTATTGAACTAGGTACTTCATGTGGTTTATGTTCTAGTATTTGACATCATAGCGTAAATATACTCCTTTCTTTGCAAAAATATTATCTAAAATTGTAAAATTTAGTAAATATGTCTTAAATTCAGTCTCATTTCTGTCGAATTATTTGGTGATTCGGAAAGGTATGCATTACGATATATAACGTAATATTAAGCAATTCTTAATCATGTTTTATCATACACATTTTTTTTTATTTATATTTATAAGTCTGCATGTTTGAAATACTGACATTTCCCTGAGACCTATTACATAATACAACTCCAGCTGTTCAAATATTAGAAACTCAATTTTAAAGATACCTCATCTGAAAAATGTTACACAAAATAAATTGCCAAACAAAATTCCACGTCTGTGGTAAACAATGAAAAATATCCATCGATTGGGTTTTCCCATAATTGTGGCGGTTTAACCTTGTCGACGCAATCAATATATGGATATTCCCAAGAATTTTAGTGGAATAAATATTTAGCCTTGAAAAAAATTGTGACATTGCATAATTTTCCATCTGATAAAACATTTAATGTTTGACTAAAGTTTAATTTACGAGGTACATTCCATAAATGCGTGGTCTTTGTATGCACTTTTGTACGCCCAAGAGGCGAAAGAGTACATATTAAGAAATATCAAACTAAAGGACATTATAATAGTAAAATTATTTAAAATTTACTAATAGTAAAAAATGTAAATGTGTAGGATATGTGGCATGCTAAGGCCTAAGACGAATGATAAATGAACAGAGCGACTTGTGCCATTGACAGTTCAGAAAATATGAATTCGACGATATTTACCTTTCGGAAATATCATATTCTAATTGTACATAGAAGGTAACAGGGGTCTCAGAGACCGACTTTTACCGATTTACCAGTATTTTTCTTTGTCAATATAGTAATAAAATAATATTTAGGTAGTTTTTAATAAAATTCAATAACAGTTTTTCAAAAAGAAAAACGAAAAATACATTTTCTCTGAAAACTCAATAAAATTCCGTGTTTGAATTAAAATATTAATATAAAATAATTAAGTATTTCTAAAAGCATAGGAAGTAACATGGAACTATGAACATCATAAAAGCTCTTTGGTTCAACTGGATTTTTCTTGTTGAAGTTGTTCAAGCTGCACAGATGTTGTATTGAACCAGATTCTGGGGTTCTTCAACCAAGCTGTTCTTCTTCTTCCTGGACCTCGCTTTCCAAATATTTTTCCTTGCAGGATGGCTTGAAGGAGAGCATATCTGGATTCATTTCGCATAATATGCCCGAAGAATTGTAACTTTCGAGATTTAATGGCGGTCAATACCTCTCGGTTCTTATTCATTCTTCTAAGAACCTTCTCATTTGTGACTCGGTCAGCCCACGGGATCTTAATTATTCTCCGATATAGCCACATCTCAAATGCTTCCAGTTTTTTGCTCATATCTTTGTTCAAGGTCCACGATTCAACACCATATAAAAGGACAGATCAGACGTAACAACGATATAAATAATAATAAATGGAGAAGATATAGTCAGAATAAAGGCTATAAGGGTCATTGAAATGGGTCGGACTGTACTAAGACGAGAAGATAAATTAAAGGTCGATTCAGACACATCAGTCACGTCTCGTCACAGTCCTGGCGCCGAACCGAACAATCCGTCATACAAAATATTCTTTAATAGAAATATGGCGCCGGCATTCACATTCATCAGGCGAGCAGTTTCCAAGCTGTCAGATAATTAATAGTTCTGTGACCAAACAGGACCGGTTCGGCGCCGAAACTGTGACGGGACTGATGTGTCTGAATCGACCTTTATAAAGAAAATATTAAAGGGGACCAAAGTGCAGATGGGAAGATCAGCTCAGAGATTTCAACAGAATGAAGATACTTAAAAGCATAACAAAAGTAGAAAATATAAAAGAATGGAGCCTTATCACCAATCGGGAGATATCACACAACAAACTGTGAAGGAAGACGACATAGAACAAGAAAACAAAGAAAAAGGCGGAGCGATCCCCCGCGAAAAACAGATCAGAAGAGCTCATATTAATGGGCAGCTTGTACTCTTGCCCAGGACTGACAGGCTCATATCTCATATTTCTTTAAGATTATATTTATTGGACACTCTTACAGAATCTCTAGGAAGTATAAATACCTATAGAAATCTATAAATACGTTAGAAAATATTGTACTTGAAATATTAGTAATGTCACTTGCCTCTTTTATGGCAATTATATTTTAATAGTCCTGACCTCAGTCTAACTGAGAATTTATCGGTGCATCCTTAAAGAAGCTAATTTGCCTGAATGGCTATAACCAACCCCACAAAGTATTAACGTAACATTGAATTCATGAATTGTATTGCCTTAATTTTTAAACTTTTATCGATTTGTTGTTATATTAAAAAATATATTTCAATAAAAGTACTAGTGGATATTAACACATACATTTCAGAGGGTTATTTCAATGTAAAATAACTTTTTTTAAATAATTTTTTGACCTCATAGTCTCTTCTTTCTCGTGATAATATGTTATATTGGTATATGGTATATTTCTATTGTTTTTGTTTTTTTTTTATTGCTGCCTTCACATCTATACAATTTTAAAACTCCTGGGCTCTTTTCCAAAAAAATCCCTATTCAATGTTATTCCTAGTTTTATTTTGGTAACATTTTAATTTCTTTATTCCTAAAAATAACTACTAGTCACAAAAAACTCCAACCTATTAATAAGATTAAGAGCACAGTTCATTGTTCTAGGAACAGATGTGGAAGTTCTATTTTTGTAAATATTTTGGTTGTATAAATTTCTGGGATAATTTAACGTTAATCGTATTATACGCAAATACGTTAATCTTATCATACATTCTACGTAGAACCGGTCACATGAGGTTTATACTTCACAAAAGCAGAAGCATGTTCTTTATCGGATAGCAGCAGATTTTTATCAAACAATTCAAAAATTGCTATTGATCAGAAAACTTTAATAGAAGAATATTTTGTCATCATATTGTTAATCAGAAATAATTATTATAGATACATTAAAATACGTTTAAATATTCTGTACGATGGAGATAAACATTCCGATCATTGTTCTTACCCATGGACGTATAAACACAGATACGTCCATGTTCTTACCACTCCGTACCAGAATCTTCTCTTTGTTTATTTTGATTTTTGTTTGGCAGAAAACTTAATGCGTATTTCCCGTAAAACAATATTTTGCCTATTGGTTACTGAACATTGAGACTTTTTATAGCACTATTAATCTAGGCAAATAAATAATTAAAGCGTACAAAGTCTGTCCAAAGGTTAAAAATAAAACAGTCTACGTCAAAATGCGCTACATCCAGATTAAATTGGCATCCAACCAAAATAAAAACCACAGGAAGAGATTTATTTTTGAAATGCAGTTCTAATTGAATCTTCTCCAAAAATCGGAATCGACATCTATAAATTAATCGCATTTAATTAACAATTTACGATATTTTTTCAGTTATAGAATAAACAAAAAATGTTGAAAAATAACAATTTTTATTTGACTTTCACAGAGTAATTTATAGATGAAATTATTTGATTTTTCTTGTGTGTTGTTGGGTTTAGTTTTGGAAAGGCTAGATCTCAGTGTGTTAGTTGTTTTGAATGTTGTGATGTACTTATTTCCCATCCTTTTCAATATTTCTTATAAGCCCTTTACATAATATGGTATTGTTGTCATCTTTCAATCCCGTGTTGTGAGTGTTTCTAGATTGCTTGTGATGTTTTGTTTATTCCTGTTTTGAATCTTGTGAAATTCCTTGTGTATAAATGACAATGGGTATCGCACAATGGGGTGAATAGGAACAGTTTCCAACGTTCAACTAAGAACAAGACGCTAATACATGTTACAAAAATAAAACTTACGCATTGTTATTTAGGTCTTACCTTCTTAGTTTGATATTTAGGTGTTAAAAAATTAGAAAGGTAATACTCTAATCACAAAAAAAAAAAATCTGGTGTTTCATGAACAACAGTATAAAAAACTATTGTGCTCCTATTCATATATTTATAGGGCTAATAGGAATAGGTAAAAAGTGTATAAGGTGTAAAGAAACATACGCATATAAATATAAAGTTTGTTTTATTGGGAAATTTATTGTTGAAATGAAAAATAACTTTTAAGGTCGGCTAATATAAATACATATCACTAAGATCATTGTTAAAACTAATCATGTTTTTAACCCGAGACGAGATATTCACGTTTGTACATACAGACAATTGTCTTATAATATTATCGGGTTACAAAAATGCTTCCTTTTCAGTTTCGAAAAATTTTCAAGCCTGGGGAACCTTCTTAAAAGAGATTTCTACGTAACCGCCATCTTGATAATAGAGAACTTTAGTAACGTAGAAAGAAGTTTCCAGGGTTAACGCAAGTGTTCGTTTCTTCATCAGATGACACTAGCTCCTTCTCACTGTCTTGGAGAGAGTTTTCTGAAGCACTAGATTCTCGTTTTAGCTTTTTAGTGCGACTGGAGATTTTTTTGAGGGATTCAGTTCTATGTTCTGAACTACTGATGGTCCTGCTTCAGGTTCAAACTCTTCTTCTAAATCTATCGCCACAACACTTTTTCCCGATTCGACACAAATAATAAATAATCTCTTGTTCCAACACTGTATAATTAAAGAAAAAAACTTTTGTTATAGACATTTATCCAAATTATTTGAAAAATCTTTGTAGTATTTTTAACAGTTTCAATATCATCTTTTAATAATAAATATTTTATATAATAATAATACAAAACAGTCTATTTTATTTACAGTGCTTTGCCATTGTTTGTCGGTAAATCAACACGCGTCAAAGCAAGGGTGGAAGCTGATGCATAGCATATACTTACCCCTCCTACCCTTCCCACGCAGCCAGAGTCTGGTACGGTCAGTGTAGTGCTAATTTTACTATGAAGTGGTCTAACGAAGTTGTGTTGGATTTTTTATCATTATATAAGTTACCCAACTTACTAAAATTTATACCGCCAATACTGGGGGTGACAAAACTAAACTAAACTATCGATCATTGGGTAGTTATCAAAAAGAAGAGTGCCTCTTCACTCTCCATGAGATCTTATCTTCAGACATACATACACTAAACGGTCCCTCCTATTTCATCAGCTGGACTTGTTACATATCCGGGTGTCATGTAATTCCAGGTAGCATTGCTGAGTCCAAAAACTTTGTTACAACGGAATGTTGTAACAAAATTATATTAAATTTGTTTTTGTACTGTGTTGTGGGTTCGTCGCCTTGGAAGTGAATTGTTTTTAAAATAGGGGCAGTTTTTTATATGTTCTGTTTACAATTTATTATATATATTTACCTATTTAAAAAGTTTCAAGTTCACAACAAAACTATGTTTTTTTATTCCTCTCGTGTTTTCAAATTGTGTGTTTATAATACTTTGTTTAAAAAAGGTATTTTCTGTGGTATATTTATTATTTACCCAACCAAAAATTATCTCTATTTATTTAAACGAATGTACATTTCTAAGTAATATACATATTAATTATCTGTATTTTTGAAAATATCAGCTCACAATATCCTTTAATCCACCTAACTTAGTATTTCTTGGAAGCCATAGTCATGGGCAGATATTTTCAAGGACACTGCGCATTTTTAAAGGTTTTCTAACTGATAACTGTAAGTAGGCGTTGGAAATGTGAGTGAAGGAATATTTTACGTAATTAATATTTCAAATTCAAAACAAATTCATTAAAATTGTTGTAAAATAACATTTACTAGTTGAATACCTAAAGTATTTGAAAGAAACACTCAAAATATGGCCACGCAAATGTGGCCAAATGGGTAAATGGGTATAACAGTAGATAATGACACTATATACTCTCTTCTGTTCGCTGAAGGTCAAACGGTCTAGTACTAATAGCTGCTGAGCCTGACGACTCGAGCTATATGTGAAGGAAACAGTTCACATATAGCAAACAAAACAGGAAACAAACGAGGACTACGAGGAATGGGATTTAAAACTTATATGTACATAAGACCAAATATAATATATATATATATATATATATATATATATATATATTATATATATATATATGGTAATTGACAATGAAAAAATGTATCGTTAAATATTGCTCATCCTTCATTCCCGCGAGCGCTCCTAACATTTCTTAACGACCCCTTCCGTGGTCGGGACCGATGGCTTTACGTGCCCTCCGAATTACGGTTACGGCTAGTATAATTTTTCAAATTAAACATTTTGTTTTCGGTGCCGAGGATCACACTCATTCGTCACGTTCTGGCTCGATAAGACAGTATCTTGGATATATATTAGTATCAGTATATGTATTTGGAAAAACTCATGGGGACCAAGGAAATGTTCAAGAAAAATATTATATAGGAACAGATTTAAAATTCCGATCTTTTTCCTAATTTTAAAGCTGTATTTCGGTGAAATGTAATTCTAGTACCATTCATTTCCGTTTTTAGTTTATTTGTTTACATTCTCACCTTTTTTCTTTTTTCATTTTTTTATTTCAACTTTCCATGCTTTGCTAGGTTTCATTTAATACATTATAATTACGAGCCGTCTTCTTAATCTCTTGTATCATCTTGCTACACCATTTATAAACTATGGGAACGGTTTTCTTACACTGTGGTAATATTTTCCAGTCTACTACATGTCCTTTCACCATACCAATATTTTTACTTTATTTTTTATTTTTAATAAGTAAATGATAAAAATTAATGTTTAATTATTATAAGTGTTATCAGTTTTTTATTTGCTTAACATAAAGGATAACAGCCATTTCTCTATATTGTATATACATTTACAAAATTCAAAAGTGTTTTACAACAAAAACTTAATGAACTTCATTTCTTGTTACAGTCTCCTTCAGAATTGTCAAAAAATTGGAGAAGGGGTTTACGGAGAGGTTTTCCTCTTACGGAATCCCGATGGAGGAACATCAGTGCTGAAAATTATTCCAGTGGAGGGAGACCAAATCGTTAACGGAGAAAGACAGAAAAAATTTGAGGAAGTTTTATCAGAAATCATAATCACAATGTAAGTCCTCATCATTACATTTGTTAATCAGGCTCATGTTATAAATATTCTTTTTTTATTCTAGAGAACTGAGTAATCTCAGACACAACAAGAGAAATGGAATATCTTCGTTTACAGAAGTTCAGAAAATACAATGTGTTCAAGGAACATACCCTGAAAAACTTATAGATCTGTGGGATCTATTTGACGAAACTCGAGGATCTGAGAACGATTGCCCAGATACGTTTAAAGAAGATCAGTTGTACATAGTTTTTCAGATGGCTTACGGAGGAAAAGATTTGGAATCTTTCGTTTTCAACAACGCAATGCAGGCTTACTCCATGTTTCAGCAGGTAAGTTTCACATTATACCATATTATAGAATGAACAGTTTACATGATTTTCACAATTGCTATTCTATACAAAATATTTATTGCTTGATGCAGATTTAATAAATACCATAACAGTCCAACAGCCATTTTGGTGCCGGAGACATAAGAATTGATGCTTGAGTTCTAAAATGTTTTTTTATTTTTTCGTAACAGCTCTACTTTTCAAGATAACTTTGGAGAAAAGCTAATATTGGTCTTATATACAGGCCACTATGAGAAACAAATTCACAAAAAATACATTTGTTACTCGCCACCAAAGAATTTTATTTTCAATGACTTTCAAGCATGTGTGTGCCCAGAACAATCTCGCTAAAGTTTCCAAACTTTCTCTGCCTTCATATGGAGATCCCATTTTCCTTGATAACGAATTTCCACGGTTTTAATATGCTAATTGATCTAAATAGCTGTGCAGGTAGTAAACTTTAATGCTCATCTTACTACCAAGAATATTAAAATTGGAAAGCATATTTTCTATTAATTGTATGTAATTCACTGCCTTATGAATTCTAAGAAAATGTACTTCAAACAAACAAACACTATGCTTTCAATTCAAATGTGTTCGTTATAGCAATGTCCTGTCTTCAGAACGATGAACTATTCCGGCTTTCAGTTTTTCAGTGCTTATTCCTGAAAATGTATGTGCCAAGTATCCAAAACATTTGTCTATCTTGATCTTAAGTGTTTACAGTTTGCTCCATAGGCCTTAACTGAATATACAAGGGTGGCAATGTAATTTTTTCTCTCGCAAATACAGATTAATAGATTACCTTTTGTTTTCCTTGAACTACGACATTTCTCAAAAGCCAATATTTTTTAACCCAGTGTTGAACTTTTTGGTGCTGTACTAAAGACATAAAAACAGGGATGTTTTGTATATCTACTTTGCTGTCCAAGTAGACAGTTTATCATTTTGAAATCGACAAAAAGTATCTGGTAATGTTCTGCCTACTTATTTTTTTTCAGGATTATTGATATTGTGATTTTTTTTCTCATTCTGGTATGTAGTATGACCAAAGAGTATTGACCCAAATTTATTAGTGTTGTGTAAAATGACACATTTCAAATTACATTTTGAACTGTCTATTTTGATATGTATTTCTATACTGATTTTTTCAACAGTTGTCTTACGTCGTCACCAAAATTTTCCAAACCAAGTTATTTTCTTAAAAGCGTCCTAGCCTCTGTAAATCCCTTGGTACAGGTCATTCAGTTGTTGTCAATTCAGTTGGTTATTCGTTAATTGAAACGATTTTCTGCTTAAAAATCACTATCGTTATTCAATTGAAAATATTTGACTTTATGACTTTGTTATCTTGGGAGTGTGGGTAAGATTACTAAATGTTGGAATGACTATTTTTTCAGAATGCTTGAGTTCTGTTATGTACTGGCTCTTTTGCTGAATCTATTTACGTTTCTCATTATCTACTTATGTTTCTCATTATATATTTATGTTTTACTGTTAACAAATTACGATTCGTAATAAGTATATTGTTATTGCTTATATGAATGCGTCAAACAAAGTTCGTCAAGCATTCATTGTAGTTCGTATGTCGTAATGTGAAAATTTTAATGCCAACACGATACAAATGATTTGCTAAATATTACATTCGTTTTAATTTTCCAGGTTGCATTAGGCTTGGCGATAGCCGAAGAAGAGCTACAATTCGAACATCGCGATCTTCATTGGGGAAACGTTTTGATATCTACAGTAGAAACCAATAAAATAGTATCGTTTACGTTGGAAAACAAAACATATAACATACCCACCATTGGTGTTGAAGTTGCCATCATTGATTACACTCTGTCTAGAATTGAGCATGATGGAGTTGTAATATTCAACGATCTTGGATTGGATCCAGATTTGTTTACTGCCGAAGGAGACTATCAATTTGACATCTATAGATTGATGCAGGAGAAAAACAGGTAAGGAAATAAACTAATTACAATCATATACAAGAGTGGGGTCCAAGTTTAACATAAAATAAAAAATCAATGGGATATTTGAGGCAAGGGTTGATCCCTTACTAACTCCTCTAGTACTATGCTAGTCGTAGTGAGTCTAATACACGCTTCCAGATAATCGTTTTTCATGCGATTACGTGTTTTAGATTTAATATGCTTCACAGCAGAAAATATACTTTCACATATATACGTACTACCAAACATTGAATATAGTTTCAACACAAAGTTACCAAGTTTGGAAAACGATCCTTGGAGACTAACTTCCAAATGGTACTAATGTCTTCATTTTCTTTGCTTGAAAAAACGAATGGGACTGTAGTTCGCACAGCTCTAATTTGGTATTCTGCTGATCCTGGAGTTGTAGGTTTAATGTGTTCAAGTAAGAGGAAATGTCTGTTCGAAATACCAGTTCATGAATAAATGTTTTGTTCTTAAGCTTTGTTATAAATACGCCCGTGTTAATAACAATTTCCGTGTCAAAACACAGTAAGATCTCTTTTCTTACAGAAAAAAAGGCATTTACCTGCACTCAACCAGGGTATCTCTGAATGTAGGGGTACATCCTTATATTCAGTATTTAATTCCTCCAAGGAAGAGATGAATTTTCGGTGTCGCTGAACTCTGCCTCCTCTTAAGCTGTTTACTATCTGCACTACAGTTTTCATAGTATCGTTGATGTTAATTATCTTTCCACAGAGAGCCTTTCGATGGATAATGCAATGAAACATAACACAGTTAACACCATTTTCCGCAAAAGTCCAGCCAATCCCGTTATGCGTCCTGTCATTGGTTTTGCTCCGTCGGTGCAAACGCAAGAGCACTTTTGAAAACCGCCTATATTTTTCACAGCGTCACTAACTGCTTCAAATATATTTATACCTTTGGCCCCTTCTTCCATGTGGTGCAGTTTTAGAAGTTCCTCAGTTACACAAAAATATTCACTGATGCATGTAACAAAAATTAATAGCTGATTTTTGTCAGTAATATCAACGGATTCGTCCAGGGCTAAGGAGTAGTACAAACAATCACGAACTGTGTCGACCATTTTTTTTATATAGATGAGTATTCAGCTCATCAACTATTCTAGATACAGTTTGATGGGAAACTGAAACATTTAAAAATTTTGGCCACCTGTTCATCTCCAAAGGATCGCACCATTTTAACGGCACACCGCTTGATCATTTCTCCATCTCTAAATGCTTTTTTACTTTTGACAAGCTCTAAACATACTTTATATGATGTGAGTTTCACCGGTAGCGCTCTCTCGTGGTTTGAAACTTGTACTTTTCTTGTAAAATCAGTGTAAATGAAATATGACAAAACGAGAAAAATAGATATTTATTTAAAAATACAAAATAATGAACTGAAATATTATGGTAAACTGATTAATGAACGAATACACAGAATTCATAGTAAAAGTAATTACGCCTTGTTATTTTATTCATTAGAATTATAATATTTAAGATATAAGTTCTTGCGACTGGATGACTACTTACGCAAGAGGTCATTGAGAAAAAGAAGAAGTTTATATGAAAATATTTAATGGTTAAAGCAAATATTTAAGGTTATAGACGCTTAAAACGTCTATATTCTTTAGTTAAAGGTTACCTTTACCTCTGTAACGTTGTAAATCTTGTTTTTATTTTACATTTTTATTCTGTTTTTGCTCAGTTATTTTTTGTGTGTGTAGGCCTTAGTGCTTATATATCAATTTGTTTTAATACTTCTTCTTCTTTCGTTTTATGGCCTCCACCTCTTAAATTTGTTTTAATTTTATCAAAATGGATATTAAACATTATACTGGTTTTAAGTCTATATCACATGATATCCCATTTCAACCAGCTACACCAAAAAAGGGAAAAGGTTTAGTTGATGCAGGCATGTACGCAATGTTTCGGAATATAATAGCTTTTTAATTTTACACCATACAAATATGTTTGCATTATAGGTTATTTACTTATTTTTCTCGTTGATAGCAATAATCCATTTTTCTCTTTGAACTATTTTATGCTTGGCAACAGAAAATAAATAAAATTTACAATGACTGTTGTACCCAATATTTTTACATGTATCATATATTTTTCTTTTTGAAAAATCCATATTCGCCATTATTTGAATGTTTACAAGTTAAATGCACAAAACTGCCACTAACAGCGTTGGTGAAAACTGTCAAATCCCCTCTACTCATCGGCTCACAGCGAATATGATGCTGCTTAGCTTGATTATTGAACAACTGTCATTTTGACATTTGACAACAAATAATGCACCGAGGTTTGCCTTTTAATTCAATGAAGAAATATTGATTTTCCCATTTTCCTTGGAACGTACGGTTCTCTTCGAAAATGTTGCGTTTTTTTGGCACTACTCATTCTGAATTTAACATTAAATTTATTCGCCACTGTTAATTCAACACGACACGTGCAGCTGACTGAAGCTAACTGCCGCTCATCGGGAGTGGGTGTTCAAGGTTAACTACTTTCTTAAGATTACGGAAAGTTAAACAGGGATGGAATATGTAAAAGTTATCAATGGTAATATTTTTGAAATGTGTTTGCGGGGGGCCGCAGTTTAACGAGCCTCGTGCTGCATGCGGCCCGCGTGTCTGCGGTTGGACCATAATGGTATATAATATACTCCCTTAGCACTTTCTACCAATTACCAGACATTGACCTGGAAGAAAGTATTTTTTAAAATGAAAGTTAATTTAAAATAAAACGGAATGTGGCAATCAGGGAGTGACCGTGGAAGGGAAACATAACTTTTTTATCGTCTAAGCACGGAGAGATGGTTTTTAATTTAATTTATTTAATTTTAATTTAATTTTATTTCTTTCTTTTAACTTTATTGTATTTTGTTTTAATTTAATTTATTTTATTTTTAATTCTAATTCTAATTATAATTTTATATTTTATTTTATTAAGAACCATGCATGGGACTGAGTTTACTAGTCCACGTTGTGTGTGGTCGCGCAATCCACCACACCGATCAATGCATTTAGTCCGTAGCCCTCGATATCAAAGCCATATTTACACAAATCTCTTGAAGGTAGTATGTGTGTCTGGTAAAGAGAGGTGCCACGTGTACTTTGATCGTCTTGGGACGGGTGTCATGAAAAAACTTTATTGCTAAAATACCTAGTATGAATAATTGAGAGTAGAGTATTTTGTATTGTTGACACCAGAATGCGTTTATTGAGTATATTGTTTTTTTCATACAACTCCTTAAAAACAAGATTTGTTTAATAATTTGTAAACAACGATTTTATAATGTTTGTTCTCTCCTTTTCAGAAACAACTGGAAGGACTTTGAGCCGTTCTCCAATCTCTTATGGCTTCACTACATTTTAGACAAAGCGATTTTGGGTTTAAGATACAAAGCCCGAAAACTAAAATCCACAAGACTTATTTAAGAAAACTCACAAACCTGAAGGATGACATTTTGTCCTATCAAAATGTCAAAGATTTTATAGTTGCTAATTTGTTAGACATATAAATTAAAAGTTTGTATTTTGTTATATACCATGTGTTTATCTTTTATATACAATAATAAATGTTTACATTAAGGTAGCTGGATTCAGAACAAAAGTAAAAATATTGTTTACTAAATTACTTAACTAAATATAAATTTGTTTTAAAAAATTAGTACTAGATCGTTTTTGCCTGCTAGTTTTTTTATGAAGATACATCAAACCAAACTAGGATCCAAAATTTCCAAAGTCCTGCTGCTTGGGAAATAAATGACTGTATAATATTATCTGTACAAAAAGATTGTAAAACTTGTGCTTCTTTTAAAATAAGGAAAAATAAACGAATCTCGACCAGTAAACTTAGCTAATACATTTTTCAAAATTTTTTTGCTATTGGGTGCCAAACGTTTGCTTAGAAAGTTTTTAAATAATGAATATTTTTGGAAAACTTGAATATTTTTACTACCTACTTCAAGGGAAAATTAAGTTGTCATTTTTTTGAATATGTACTTTAATTAAAACCAGCTGCCATTAATACTGTACAAAATAGAAATTAAAAATATATATTCTCTGCAATTCCTTTATGTACAAAATTGTTTACAAATATTTACAATTAATTTTTTATTTGTGTAAAGAAATGTTGCCATATTTTTCAAAATCGATTAGAATATTTTAGGTGCCTTATTGTGTAATATAACGCACATTTTTTTAGATATGTGTTTGTGTGTAACTAAAAATGTAGAAACTCACTCAATGACTAATAAGGTCACTGCAAATATTTTTTATGCTGCTGTGTAGATATGTACAAAAGGTGTTGATTTTTATACTGCGAATAAATCGTTCTATGATGTATATTTGTTTTTATTCTTTCCCAAGATACCCTGATTCTGAATTTTTTGAATTGAAAGTTGAGATGTGCCGGAAGTCTTTTGTAAATACAAGGTCTTGTAGATACGGTATGCAATGAAGTTTATTTGTATACTAAAGAGTTAATATGGGCTCTCATAAAATGCCGTAAAAAAGCATACAGTAAATTAATCTTTCACCATTGTAAAATTTATACCGATGGCTCAAAATCGCCTGCTGGTGTAGGCTGTGCCATTTATATAGACAATATTCAAGATTATTTTCAGTACAAATTAAAGTCTCATTGCTCAATATTCACAGCTGAATTGGTAGCCACTGTCAAGGCGTTGAATTGGATAATTAATAACACATTATATTTCGAACTATATATAATTTTATCTGACTCACAGTCCGTCCTCGCATTGAGAGCTTCTAAAGACATATACAGATAACGACAGTGTTTTGTTGACCATAGGAATTAAGATTTATTGCAATCCTGTCTCTAGATTATAGTTATTATAATGCTCTAAAAATACAAAAAATAAAAATTAGGAAAGCAGATTAATGAATTAAGTGCTAAAATATTCACCTCCTTGTGTTAAGTAACCAAATCGCTCATACAGATTTTTCCTCATATTTTGGAGTAGGGCTGGTGTAATTCTTGCACAGAAATTAAGTATTTTTGCCCTTAATTCGAATATGTTTGTGGCCCTTTCAAGCTGAAAAATGTGTTCTTGAGAAAACCCAAAAAAAGAAATCGTTAGGCGCGAAGTCACAGGATCTAGCGGACCATTTAATTGTACCACGTGTAGTTATCAGTCGATCAGAAAACGTTTGATTGAGGAAGTCAATCGTTGCTCTAGAGTTGTGAGCCGAACACCCATCCTGTTGAAATAAACCTCATGGAAATTAACGGGAAGACGTCGAACTGCCGGAATGATCTCATTCTGTAAAAGTTGTAAATATTTGGGCCCGTTTAGTTTAATATCGTTGACAATTTGGTCGCCCAACATCCCAGTCCAAACATTTGCGGATGCTGCGTTCTCACTGCAACACTGAGGCAGAGAACTACGAACACAGAGAAGCGACACGAGGCCCGAAATCCGTGTATCTTTTCTGTATACGCATGCCCGAAATTTGTTGCTTTACTGTCAAAAACACGTGTGTTTTCTTCAACTCTGGTTGCTTACGATAGTCCGTAGCCACCTTTGGTAAATTCTCGACTATACAAGTGCATTTGACCATTTATCTAATTTACTTAGTAGTTAAAAGTTTATAGTTATAGTTAAAATATATAAGTTAAATATATAAGTTTATAGTTATAGTAGTTAAAAGTTTTAATTTATAAGTATTTAAAATGTCTTCTGGTTATTGTTGTGCGTTTCGCGGATGTTCATCTTTGACAGGAAAAGGAATAAGTTTATTTAGATTTCCTAAGAATAATAACAGGTAATTACTATTGCTTTGTAATTATTATTAGTTATTACATAATAGTATTAGAAAGTCAACATAAATGCTCAATTGTATTTAAGAATTTATATTGTGTCATATGCCCACTGACTATTAGTAAATTGGTTGCTTTCCTGTCATTTTCACTCGTTGGCGGCTTGCCCACGCAAGATCAAAGGAGTGTCGCTTCTCTGCGTTCGTAGTTCTCTGACTGAGGTGCTTATTTTTCCGAGAATAATACCTTGCAACGGATGGATTTGGTTTTTTATGTAACGAAAATGAAGATTCGTCAGAAAATAAAATATTTTTTAAAAAGTGTACATTTTCATTGTGCTTAACATAAATTCACCAAACTCCATCCGCCTAAAGTTATCTTCTGGAAACAGTTCTTGTGTTGGTTGTATCTTAAACAGTGATATCCATTCCTTTTGATAACTCGCTGGACAGTTCGAGCATTCACGTTAACTTCCCTAACAATTTGTACACTATTGCAGGGTTCACTAGCTTCCACAAAAGCACAAATATCAATATCCCTGTTTTGACGCTCCTCATCGACAGATCTTATACGTGTTTCATTACCTTCATGACACTTCTTGCAACTGTTTACACATCCCGAAGTTTAAAGAAAATGTTTAATGGTATTTTTAACTGTTGTATGGGGGTATATTTTCGAAAGTAACAATAAATAAATCAATTACTTTGCGTATCGGATGATCCTGAAAGTACCATGTTACAAGTTGCACGTTTTCTTGGGCGGAATAAAACCTAATAGGCATTTTATTAATTATTTGTTTATTCTTTCAGAACTTCGTTTGAAACTTTTAATGTCAATGTGACAATGAGGACAATAATTCATACCTTCTGTGAAATGAATATAGAGGTGGAAACGTGTAACATGTCACAGCGATTGCCATTGTGTTGTATGGTCAATAAAACAATGTGATCTGTATACCAACAGACTAATTGTAGATGCTCTTGAAAAGCTAAGGATCCTAACTTCCTCAAAAAGGATTGTTAACTTTGTGTGGGTTAAAGGTCATTCTAATATTAAAAGCAATGAAAAAGTAGACCATTTGTCTAAGGACGCTACTTTAGTGGATATAGAATACAATGAGTTGCCCAAATAGGATTTAGTTTCAGGAAGAAACATGTTAGACTTAATTGGGAAATTGAGTGGCAATTTTTTAGTAGACAGTAGCAAAAATAAATACTGCAGTATATATCCAACTCTTCCACCTACTCCACCAAATGACAGAAACTTTATCTCACAGAAAATTTATACTATGTACCTACGTTAGATGCCTTTTTCAAGTTACAAGTAAACAAGTCACAGTAAACGCTTACCTATACAAAATAAAACTTTACGAAACTGATATATGTCAATGTAATGGCAGCTATGATGACCTTAACCACTGGACGTTTCAATGTCGGTATAATCAAGAAGACATAAAATTTTTATTTCAAGCCATCTACCAACAAAAAATCATACTGCCGCAGAACGTTGCTTCTATTCTCTATTGAGGTAGTCGAAATCCAACTATTAGATAGATTTTATTGGAATTTTTCAAACGTACCAAACGGAAAATCTAAACTGCCTTTTTCAGTGTTGTGTGAATCTGAAACGGTAGGACATTAGTTGTAGTATTTCCATTTCCCATTGTCTTTCCTTTTATGTCATTTACCTTTAACCGTTGCGAAGTTAGGAAATTGTCAGAAATGAATTTAGGAGTTAATTGTTTTTACTTTACGTATTCAACCAATTGTCTGGCTAAATAGGTGTTGAACCTAAGGCCAAAAAAATTCGTTTGTCCTAAATGTAAGATTTTATTAATCATTTTCATTTAACTTCTCCATAAATATGTTGTTACAAATTAGTCAATGCAAATTAGTAATTTTTTTCTTTATTAAACGTTACCTATACAGAATTACTGGAAATATATTACTATAGTCCAGCAAATAAAAAATGAAATGAGTCATGTCGCTGTGACTTTTACCAAGAGGCGTCCAGTAGCGGAGAAAGAATGCGTATATAGTCAGTATATATTTAGTTTTCTCAGCTAATTATGTGCTAGAAGTGTTTAACGATGTATTGTTTTTATTAAATATTGTTTAACTCAATAAAAACAAAAGCAGCTATTTATATAAAAGGCTAGGATGACAAGTCACACTGTTTGTCCAGTAAGATAACTACGCCACCTATACGGATAACGATACGGTTGATTTATTGCTAATTCATTCTACAAATTGATTGATTGATTGAAAAACTCTTGGCTGAAGTATCTGAGTAGCTGGTATAACCGGTCATCCGCAGAAATTTTTGATGCAACAGTTTTCAAAACTACAATTGCCACTTGGATCGCCTAACAATAAAAAGGGGAAGATTGTAATGCAATGGCTTACTTGATTCTTTCTTGTATGTGCTTGCATACTTTGAACTGGCAAAGATAGGGATATAATTTTTGTGAAAAAGTCGTTGTAAATCTATAAAGCAGCAATTAGACCTATAGTAATATACACAGCGGAGACAAGACCTGACACATCTAAAACTATACGACTGCTAGAAACCACAGAGATGAAAATACTCCGACGAATGTCAGGGAAAAGTGTGTTGGGTAGGGAGAGGAGCGAAAACATAAGAGCATGCAATATAGAAGACATAAATGGATGGGTGACAAAACGGAAATAGGAGTGGAATGAACATATTTGTAGAATGATAGAGGATAGGATAGTACGAATAGCACCATATTAGTCACCAAATGGACGAAGAAGTATTGACAGACCAAGAAAAGATGGTGCGATAATTTAAACAATTTGGGAGGCTAATATTAAAGAGGAAGCAGGCTTTAGAAGAAGTCTTCACCCTAATAAATAAAAGTTTAATATGTTTCATGGTTCTTTTAGATAAATTCGAATGTATACATGTATACACGTACTTATGGAAGTCACATTGTATAACTAGCGATTCAGATCGCCAAGATATCTATTAAGCGTGGAGGATTCTGAAATACGATAAAGAATAAAACAAACACATATGCTACTTTGTATATACAATTAATTTATTTAAATAGTATTTATCAAATACTCAACAAAGTTTCGTTAAATAAAATCTTGTAGTCTTCTAAAATGTTCTCTTCCATAAATCATCATGGTCCAGTAAATAGTAGCAAAAACAAAGAAAACAAGAGGGAAAAAATATCGTGAAGTGCGATCCAGCTCTTTCCATAAAACTTTCTCTTTTCCCTCGCCCTAAAATAAAAAAATTCGTATTTATTAAAACTAAACATTAATTAATATTTTTATGATATCGAAAAGTAGGTATATGTCTGCAGATACTGTGTTTTTCATTGGGCAGTCGAGCAGTACTCACTGAGTACTCACTGATAGGGTAGCAGCTTCTTTAGTTTTGTCAATAAACGTAGCTGAACATTTTTCAGTTTAGTCTCTGTTTATTTAGTTAACTAGCCTTTGCACCTATAATTCCGTGCTTGTCACGGGAATATATAATTAATGTTCTGGAATTATTTTATATTTTTCTATTAAAATTTTTAGCCTTTTCACGTAGACCTTCCCAAAGACTTTGCTGAGCATAGGCAGAAGGCTTTTAGGAGGTTAGAAAGGTATATTTTTTTAATTTTCCGGATTTAAGAATCATTAAATAAGTAAAGTTTGTCAAAACGCCATACGCTTAATAATTAATTAATAATTAATAAATAATAATAATTAATAATAAATAATGGATGCGGTCTCTTATTGTACACTGAACGCAGTGTGAAATTGCTGTACAAGCATAGAGATGCGACATTTGGCGTAAAGTTATACGCGGCGTATGGCGTTTATTGGCGATTACTACCTCATTATTGATTTAATTTATTTAATTGAGTACAATACTTACAGTGATCCAGTAAAGATGTAGAGATTTTTGTTTGGTTGTATTGTAACAAAAGTCGTTTTTATATTGTGAAGAATTTGGATCCGTAAATTCACTTGCTATGGAAACCTAAATAGAAAAAACAATAATTAAATTATATACAATAAATAAAGACTCATTACAATATATTAAAAACAAACTAAAATGTACGCAGAATTTTTAATTTTTAATGTAGAAATATTAAAAACTAAAAATAAATATGTTATCATCTATTACTATACTCTGTGAGGCAATCAATAAGAAAGTTAAAAAAAATAAAATACCAAGTGGAGATAAATAAACAATATAGATATTAAAATTAGACAATCAAAATTGTTCTAAAAGAAATAAAATCAGAATATGTTCTGATGTACATGTGAATGTTCAATTAATGTATACAAACAGTAAACCAATATTTAACAGACTATAACAACTATAGAGGAATATTTCTACTCAGTACAGCTTACAAAATTATAACAGACCTCATCAGACAAAAACTGACTCAATTTACAAACCAAAAAGGATTTAGGAAGGAAGATTTTGTCATCTATTCCGATTTATATTCACGGCATTTTTTTAATAGGATGTTAAGCGCAAAAAGTGCCTCCCTGGTTCCCATAGCATTTCGAAAACCAAATTGGGTATCTTCAAGATCTTCTTCGCATCTGCGTCTAATTCTGTTGTGAAGTATTCTGGGGAAAATTTTAAGAGTGTAGCCCATTAGGCTAATTAATCGATATTCTGAGCATTTTCTCGTATTGTGTTTTTTAGGTATTGCGATAAAGATGGATTTGATCCAATCTACGGGAATCACTCCGGTGTTAAATATATTGAATTAAAAAGTCTTACTACTACTTTTATGTTATCATTCTCTATTAGTTTCAGAAACTCAGTTGGTGTATCACCTGGACCACAAGCTTTTGGTTTTTAAATTCACTCCATAGTTCTTCTGGATCTTCTAGTTGTTCTCCGATGTTTTTTATTCTATTGTTAATTTTTTTTTAATGTTATGTTTTATGTATATATCGTCAAAGTTAAGTACATTGGTTTTTGGTTTTTGTCGCTGAATTCGTTTTAACCTTAGTTTAATATCTGCTACGAGTGGTTGATGATCAGATCCAATATCTGCCCTAGGATATGTAGTGACTTTTTTGACGGCATTTCGGAAACGCTCATTTACAAGTATATAGTCTATTTGATTTCTTGAAGACTCAGGGTTATTGCCATCATCAAATGGTGCTTTCCAAGTGTATAGTCGTTGCTTGGGTAGTTTATTCCAGGTGTTTGCAATGTCATCATTATTATTTTATAAAATATACACATAGTTACATATAATAGAACGCATAGGCAACATCTTTCCAAACCCTTTTAAAAACAAACAACGTAAGCTAATTACATGCATTATGCAAAGTAGCCTGGACGCATGGGTGTGCTCTATAACATATATGTGTCAACTAACTAATGACACACTTAGATAATTCCTTGTACTGATATCCTTTAGTTTCTTGAGGGCCTTATGATGCTGTCTGTATAACTTATAAACATCGAAACCGGTCGCCCAGTCTTTCGTTTAATAAAAATCTACAACTGTTAAGGTGTGGATTTGGAAAATAAATAGTCGTACTTTACTACTATTATAAAAGGCTTTATTTCCTATAACATACATACTAATTAACTAACCTAACTTAAGCCACCATACTTCTTACTACTACCTACAACTACATGATGCTCATTGACATTACTATTATTGTCTGTCATGTCAACCCATGACACTATGGGTGCGTTCCGCTTACTCTTACACCAATATATCTGTGTATACAATATAAATGTATTACATTCTCAACACGCCTCCTTACATTTACATTGTATTTACATTAATTCAAATTTAACATACTTCGAAATTTTTCAAATTTATCTTGGCCAAGGACTTCGTAAAAATATCTGCAATATTATCATCAGAATCTACTTTAACCACATTTATAACATTTGCTTTAACATAATCATTTACATAATGATAATGAATTTCAACATGCTTAGAATTTTTTGTAAAATTGCCATAATTAGCTATACTAATTGTACCAGTGTTATCTTCATAAACATCAATTGGCTTTATTATTTCAATATCAAATATTTTCAACAATTCTTTTACAAATATCAATTCACTTACTGCTTCTGACAATGCTACATACTCTGCAAAAGTTGAAGCTTTTGTAACGCTTTTTTGTTTTCTAGATTTCCAATAAATTACATTACCAAACAATCTTATTACAAAACCAGTTGTAGACTTTCTATCTAAATGATCACCTGCCCAATCGGCATCCACATAACAATCAATAATACTTACTTTTTCATTTCTGTTATAAAACAATTTTAAATCTTTAGTTAAGCATAAATATTTCAAAATTCGTACAGCATATTTAAAGTGCGTTTCATTATAGCAATTTTGAAATCTACTCAGATAATTTACGCTGAAACTTATATCAGGCCTTGTTGCCGAACTTATGTATAATAGTGCACCAATTAAATTTTTATATTTAATATTTCTTTCACAATGATCAGATTTATCAATTTTTAAATTTACTTCCATAGGTGTATTATACAGTTTACCTTTTTCTAAATTATATTTTTTCCTTAATAATTCAATATATTTATTTTGATCCAATCTCATTTCATGTTTACTAGAATCATAATCAACAGTAATACCAAGATATTCTTTAATTTCACCAATATCTTTCATTTTAAATTTTTCTGATAATAAAATTTTAATCCTTTTAATTTCATTTAAATTTCTACCACAAATCAATAAATCATCGACATAAATTAATAAGTAAATAATATCATTTCCAATTTTATAAACGTACAAACAAGGATCAATATTACTTCTTTCAAAACCTAAATTTATCAAAAATGTATCTAGGCACTCATACCATGCCCTTGGACTTTCTTTTAAACCATATAAAGCTTTAACTAATTTACAAACTTTACTTGTTCCATCTTCATAACCCTTAGGTTGTTTAATATAAACTTCAGAAATTACTTTACCATTTAAAAAGGCTGTTTCAACATCCATTTGTTCAATTACTAGGCCCATTTGACAACAATATGACAATAAAATCTTTAATGTTTGCATTTTAGCCACAGGTGAATAAATATCATCAATTTCATCAGTTTGTTGAAAACCTCGTACAACCAATCTAGCTTTATAAGTATTATCAGACTTTTTAGTATAAACCCATTTAACATCCAGAATATTTTTGTTTGTATCATTTTTAACCAATTTCCAAGTTTTACTTTTATTTAAACTATCAATTTCTTTGTCCATAGCTGTTTTCCAATACTTACTTTCATTAGAATTTATCGCCTCCTCAAATGTATGTGGTATATCAGTTCTACACATATTTACAAAAATACTACTATTATATACATAGTAGTCATCAAATTTCTTTGGAGGATTTTTGGCTCTGTGAGATCTAGGTAACTCAGGTTCATTTTTATTCACACTATCATCCATACTTTCATTTGTACTTTCAAAAGTTTCATCTATTGAGTCATTTTCAGAGCTTTCATCAATTTTATCAGGGTAACACTCTTCATTATTATCATTATCTGATTCGTTAAAGTCTAAACCTATACACTTAACGTTTTCTTCAACAATATCCACGTGTCTAGCAACAATGACTCTGCCATTTAATAATACACGATAACCAACATTACTATAACCAATTAAAATTCCCATATCAGCTTTCTTATCCCATTTAGAGATTCTCTTCTGTTCTGGTCTTCGTACAAAAACTTTACTTCCATACAAACGCAAATTAGAAACATCAGGTTTCTGTCCAAAAAATATTTCATATGGAGTTTTCTTTTCAATTGTATCAGATAAAGTACGATTTTTCAAATAAACCGCAGCACAAACTATTTCAGGCCAATATTTTTTATGAATATCTGCTTCAGCCAACAAACATCTTGACATATCCATTATAGTTCGATTAAACCGTTCTGCAGTCCCATTCAATTCATGTACATATGTAGGACAATTATCAATTACTATACCCCTTTCTTTTGCAAATCTGTAGACTTTACTGTTCAAATATTCTTTCCCATTATCACATCTTAAAATCTTTATTTTCTTTCCAGTCAAATTTTCACTTTCATTCGTATATTCATTCAAACAATCACATACTTCTGCTTTTGATTTTATAGCATATACTTTAGAAATCTTACTATAATCATCAATGAAAGAAACAAAATAATTTTCACCTTTAAACCCAGTAGTTCGAAAAGGCCCACAAACATCAGTATGTACAATCTCTAAAATATCTTTAGCTTTTTTTCTACTGTTTACAAACGGAATATTATGCATTTTACTTTCAATACAAATCTTACATTTCATAAATTCAGATTCAAACTCATTAGGAATTCCATTCAACAGCTGATCTTTAGATAAAATATTCAAATATTTAAAATTTACATGACCTAATAAACGATGCCATTTTTCCTTTTGATTCATATTATTCATATCTTTATTTGCAACATTTACATGCAATTCAACTGATTTTAATTTACTTTTCATAATATATAAGCCATTATTTTTTAAAGCAACTGCTGTTATATTACCAAGTTTATCAAAAACTTTTGAAATATTACCTAGAGAAATAATCTTATTATTTTCTGTTATTTTGCTATAACTTATCAAATTTGATTTCATATCTTTAACATAGAAAACATTTTGCATATCTACTAAACTCTTTTTACCAAAAGCATCAAAGTAACTTAAAACATTTCCAATTTTAGTAGCTTTTACAACCCTATTATCTCCTAAATAAACATTAATGGGATCTTTAAGTAATTTACATTTATCAAATAATTTTTCATCATTAATAATGTGGTCTGTACAACCACTATCTAAAAGCCATTTTATTTCAATACAATTATTTACATTACCTATTTCAGTATTTTGTGCAATAACTGACATATCCTTACCAAGAGCTACTGTTGTAAGCCAAGAAGCACTGTTTCGCTCTTCGTTCTTCTGTCCTTGTCGGTTGAACCGCTGTGCACTTGTTCCATGCGTTCCGCGCTGTCCACGTGAGTGGCCACGTCCTCTGACGTAGCTTCCTCTTCCGGCTTCTTGTCGACCTCGCGTTTCTCTCCACCAGCCTCTACTGCTTGTCGTTTGTCCGCCATTACCCGACGCTTGATTGGCGCCATTTTTGCAATCTCGCTTGAAATGACCAACTTCGCCACACTGGAAGCATGATCGATCCTGTCGACCTTTATTTACCACAAATGTACTGGATTTTCTTCCAAAATCATTGTTTTGATTTTTTAATTCGGACATCATAACCTTAGTTTTTACGTAGTCTGCAGTTTGATCATCTTCTTTTAATGTATCTATTAAATCACCAATATAACTGTACGACTCTGGCAACGTGTTTAACATATAGTTCAATTTTTCCTTTTCAGACACACTAGCACCCGCGCTTTTTAACTCGTTTATAGCTTTTTCGAAGTCACTAAAAAATGTTGCACAGTCTCCATAGTTGTTCAATTTTAATCTTTCCAAGTTATTTCTACATACTATCTGCAATGCCGTTGATTCTTTCAAATATAAATTATCAAATTTCTTTATCATCTCATACGCCGTAGTTTTTTCGTCGATGTACTCCATCTGTCGATCCGATATTGCACCGCATATATAATTCATTGCTTTTACATCATCGTCATCCCAATTTGTATCATCATTTTCATTTTTCGGTCTGGTTACCACAACATCACACTTCTTCATTTTCAAAAATAGCATAAGACGTTTTTTCCACATTTTATAATTCTCCCCATCGAATATAGGTATTCTAAAATCACTACTACCTGCCATCATGTGTCACACTTTTTTTTTCAAACTGCACCAAACTTTTTCTGTTGTAAAAGGTACGACTTTCCAACCACGGACCTCTGCTACCATGTTAAGGTGTGGATTTGGAAAATAAATAGTCGTACTTTACTACTATTATAAAAGGCTTTATTTCCTATAACATACATACTAATTAACTAACCTAACTTAAGCCACCATACTTCTTACTACTACCTACAACTACATGATACTCATTGACATTACTATTATTGTCTGTCATGTCAACCCATGACACTATGGGTGCGTTCCGCTTACTCTTACACCAATATATCTGTGTATACAATATAAATGTATTACATTCTCAACAACAACCTACCACGGATTGTGAACATAAGGCCCTGTATATATTAGCAGATGCAGAGGGCATAGTTCTTATGGGAATTAACAATCTGGCAAATGAAGCACAGATAAGCTGTCTAGAAATGAACGAAGGAAAAACAAAATATCTATAGACATTTTCATCTTTCTTTGCGTGTGCGTGTAAAAACACTTGCAATAAGTTGTTTCATCTGTTTTTCCTTGTCTAAGCTCAATTCGTTTACCTCCTCCAGTGGCAGCTGTCTGTATTCGTAAAGAGGCCGAACTTATCACCGACACCGTATCGGCCAAATGCATCGGTGTTATTGCTACAATACTGGGAGACGTGAGTGGTCTCTTCATTCCCTTCTCATCGCACTTTACCATGACGAACGTGACTCGCACGATTGAATTACGCATCTGTGTACCAGAGAGAGACGAATATTAAAAATTCCGTAGTAGCTTATTTCAGGCACACGCCAAGAACGATGAAACCGAGTTTATTCTACTTTAGAAGAGAAGATAACAAGACGAGAGAAATCAAAATAGAAAATTACAGTTTTGAAAAAGTACAACAATTTAAATATTTAAGAGTAATTCTGAATGACAAAAATAAAAAAAGTAAATATGTAATGGAGTGAATAGTAGCAGTCAATAAAACGTACTGAAAACACCATAATAGACAAATGAACGAGAAGCCCTTATCCAGAAATACAAAACTGAAAATATACAGATTTGCAATCAGACCACTGCTTTGACAATATGCCTCACAGATAAAGATGAAGAAAAATTAAAAATATTCGAAAAAAAATTCTCAGAAGAATTATTGGCCCACTAATAATGGAAAACTAAGAAATGAGAAGAAGGATGAACCATGAACAAAGAGACACAAGGGAGAAGATATAGTTAGATTTGTTAAAGCGCAAATACTAAGATCGCTGGAATATACAGAGAAAAGAAAAAATGACCTACTTATTAAAAGGTAGCCAGACACTGAAAGACCAAGAGGAAGATATAGGAAGAAATGAGAGGACCAGATCGGATAAGAGACATGAAAATTATGAAATTGGGAAACTGGAGGGAACACAGATTGAAACGAGTTAAAGAAAATTGTAACGAAAGCCAAGCCACACAGCAAACTTTGACAATACTCAAAAATAATGTGGAATAATCAATAGTATTAACAATCAATCAACAGTAAAGAAAGAGGGACACGACACAACTTATGGGTGGCTGTGTAATTTGTTCGCTACAATCTTATGTGGTGATAGGTGATAGTGATAGTGATCATCTATAACATATTATATATAAGTGATCTAGCTGCTTGTTTAGTTAAGAAAATGATTGTTAAAATACCTAAAACGTATTGAAAAGAGTTAAGACTATGTAGAATGAGTTGTCTAGCCAATTCTATAGAACAATAACCTTGGAAAAGGAAATTACAGGACCGATATTATTCCGATGACCGATGCTCAGAAATAAAAACTGATAGAAGAATTAAAAGAATATTTCAAGAATCTTTTAAATAAAATACCATCAGAATTGTAGCTAAAGATCACAAAGTAACTGGTATCGATGAAATACCAGCAAAATTCCTAAAATATACAAAGAAGAACTACATCTCCAAATACACCATCTAAGTTTTTGGTTACTTCGACTACTTACCCTTACATCTTGTATTTTTTGCTCCTGTTCCTTTTTCTTGTGGTCGTTGTATTTTCCAAAAAACACTTTAGCTATGACAAACTCTGCAACTGCTCCAAACACAGATATCATGCAACCTGCCATCCATATATCTAACGCCTTAAAATGAGAAATAAGTTTTCATAAACGGGAACTATATATCTGAATAAAAAAATTTGGACATTTTGATTTTTTTCTATTATAATTTATATTTTGAGAACGATTTACGAAATTGAAATCAAAACGTCAACATGTCATACTCTAATCTGTTCAAAGTAAACTTGTCGGTCCACCTTGATCCTCAAACAAGATTGAATTGGGCCGCCTTTGCAGCTAAGCCTACTAGCAGGACGTCCCACGACAAGTCAGTTGACAATGCGTATGATTTATCGGCGCCAGCAGAGTGGGACACAAATTCGACTACAAGCTTTTTAACCCTAACATATTAATAAATACGCTATTGGAGCTGGAATTACCACAGCTTCTGGCAAAAAATTTTTCCACCAATTGACTCTCGCCAAAGGATGTGGAGTATACTCATGTATCTTTGTTTTTCGTCACTACCTCCCCAGCTAGCTGCACTCTTCACCTTTAAAAGGCATTTTTTTTATTTTTGTCGAAAAGACACCCCGATCAAAAGATATCGAATTTTTACCCTCGAGTTGATACAAATTTTATTTAAAAAATTGATTTCACTTGCGTATAACAACTGACATTCAAAGTCGCCGGTCTCTTCAAGCGTTGTTTCTGAGAGAACGATTCATTCTACAGAAAAAGTGCTAATAAACATTATTATTCAAAATTATCTCAGCTATATTTCGTGTTTGAAACATTTTTTTTCTAGAGCACTGCAGATTTTTAGTAAACTGCAGTTTTCCATCCTTCTCCATACGAGGGGAGGTTTTGGAGGGAAGCCCGGTGGTAGGAGTGGCAAACTCTTTTGCATCTTTTATGGGGTCCCAAAATTACCAATCTCAGCAAAATTGAGTTTATTCGTATGATTTTTAGATGTTCAGTAGCATTTTCGTCTCTGACGACTGGAGAAGATCAGTATTTTAAATTACAAATATGGAAGTGTCTGCCTCTTTTGTATAGATTTGTATACCAATAATTGTTGTTGTACCTTTATGTAATCCACTGGTGGGGTTTCATCGCGAAGATCTGAAAACATAGTGACCAAAGACAGCTGGCACGTTACTAGTAAAGTCACTCTACCAGGTATAGCATCAAAATCTAACCAGAAACTGAACCAGGAAAGAGCCACTATTAAAGTTGAGGGAGCGTAAATCTGAATCAGGTGATGGCCGATATGTCTTTCAAAAGCGAAATACACGATTAGTCTGGAAAAGTTTCCTAAAAAATATTAACAGTATAAATTTATAAAACTATTTAAGAGTACTATTCAATATTTTGTACAACTCAACACTTTATTTAAAGTTTTTATATCTGCTGAAATCATAGGACAAAATAAAATAATTTCGAAAGTTACAAAAGTAGTCTACTTGGTGAACTTACAAGTGTTTCGGATTGTGCAAATAAGCAACGATTCAACTGAACAACTAAGAAACAATAATTTAGCTTGAGAAGCGACAATTGACAACTCAAAATCATAGGAAAAAGACAGATTTATATTTCATTACTATGATGGTCACACTCAACATGAAAAATTGGTAATTATGGTTAAATTTATTTATAAAAAAAAGAGTATAAAATTAGTTCTATGAGAGACGGTCCTGCAAGTGACAACAGTAGTTCCGTTGATTTTCGCTTCGTAATAAACTTCAAATAGTTGGGAAATTACAAGTCAGAAAATTCAACAGAGTTCAATATACTTAATCCGAAATCCGTAATCCGTGTAAGCTCACAGAGTATTATAATGTATAAGTTATATATAAATATAAAATAGGCTGACAACATTGTAATAATAATTGAATATCCAATTATTGAATCAGACAAGTATCCAAAGATAAGTAGGATAAAAAGCCTGATTTGACATTCTCATTTAAAATAACATTTCTTCGATCTTTTTTCTATTTGGAGGGATGACAAGGCAATAGCACACTAGCTAAACATAATTGTTTTGTATCAATTATATCTTAACCTAATTTCAGTTGAGGTTGTCGCATATTTAGCTTGATAGAATGCATCCATTTTAAAAAAATAGGTACTATATGAAATTAAAACAAATTTTAAAATCAACATACCGTTTTTTTCTGTAGTGTATTCATCGCTTTCTTTAAAATTCACTGGCAATATCCTATATTGTTGATGTTTAATTTCAGGATTAAGAGAAACTCCATGCCCTATCCATTTTAACTTCATTAAGTTATTGGTGTGGGCAACTAAAAATTCAAAAATATTCATTAATATACCTACCTATAGTGTATTTTTATGTATGAGAGAGTAATAAAACAATAAATTATGTATGCAAATCCCTAAACTGTTGATACGGGTGACTCAATGAAAAACAGATATTTGTCAACAAGTTTACAGAAGTATATAGGAAAACAATTTTAAATTGAGTATGACCACCAGGTATAAAGGTTGGAGCAGAATAGAATACAATAGGTGTGAGGGTTACTAATCCCTAAATAAGGTTGCCAGTGTCGGAGTGATGGAGGTTAACAGGTACTAATGAATTTGCAAGAAATGTAAGATGTTTATTTATTGGTTATATATAACCAATAAAAGTTTAATAAGTACCTACCTATTTGCAAAATAAAGTTTAATTCTTTAGATAAAATAAAACGTTTTATTTTATCTGAAATGAGTGCATTCCACGAAGTAAGGGTTTCAACAACCAAACATTTAATTCTTTAATCCCAGGAATGTACGACAGTAATTGACTAGATAATTACCTTCTAAACTTATTCCACAGAAAATGTGAAAGTGGGTTTTTCCATTTTGTAGGAAGGACCAAGTGGCGTATTCAAAATTCTTAAAAGTTCACTAAAAGTAGGTACTTCAGTTGCAAGGTGCAGTTTATTGTGTATACTAGTGTTATGGAAAATTTGGAAGTGCCGTGTAAACGCCGAAAAATTGGTCTTTTAACAGTTAATGAAAAAACATTAATATTTAATTGTTTTAAATCATTTACAGACAAACGTTTATGTGAAAGTGTTGATGAGACCGTTGAGTTAGTTAGCAGTACACTTGGTGTTGGGAAATCTACGATTTACAGAGTTATAAAAAAAGAGAAATGTGGTAGTTTTCAAATGCCACGTAATACTCTAGGAAAACCAAAATTTCAAATAGAATATCATTTTAAAGGACTTCGACGGAAAGTGCATGAATTCTTCTTTAGACAAGAATTTCCAACATTGGATAAAGTTGTTGTCTCAGTTCGAGATGATAAGGATTACCCAGAAATGAGTCGAAGTACGTTATGGAAACTTTTAAAAGAAATAGGCTTCCGCTGGAAAAAGAATCCCAGAAAGTCTATTTTATTAGACAGAAGCGATATTGTCATATGGAGAAGACATTTTCTAAGAACCATAAAGAAAATGAGAAACCAGAAAAGAAAAATATTTTATCTGGATGAAACATGGATCAACGAGGGTCATACACCAAATAAATTTTGGCAGGATGAAACTGTCAAAGGCACGCTTTTGTAAATAACTTATCTACTGGTTTAAAACCCACCATCAGGAAAGGGACGCAGGCTGATAATAGTACACATTGGCAGTTCAGACGGTTTTGTTGAAGGTGGTTTATTAACTTTTGAATCAACTCGTACCGGTGACTACCATGAAGACATGAACGCTGATATCTTTCAAGAATGGTTCGAACAAATGATAGATCTTCTTCCTAAGAACTGTGTAATAGTAATGGATAATGCAAGTTATCACTCCAGACTTATAGAAGGACTGCCCACAACCAAGTGGTTAAAAAAAGACTTGCAGAATTGGCTGAGTTCAAAAAATATTACGTACCATCCCGGATCTATAAGAAAGGAACTTTGTGTGCCCTTCATAAAGAAAAATTTAAAAAATACGAAATTGATGAAATTGCCAAAAATCGTGGAATGACAGTACTTAGATCCCCACCATATCATAGTGAATTAAATTTGGTATTGGTAAAATTAAACCGATTGAACTGGTATGGGCACAGATAAAGAGTGAAGTTTCAAGAAAAAATACCACTTTTAAAATTCATGATGTTAAACAGTTGTTTTTGGAGGCCGTAAATAATGTAAAACCTGAAAACTGGGAAAAGGCAGTAAATCACACTATTAAAGAAAAGGAAAAAATGTGGAAGCTGGACAATATTACTGATAAAATGATCGAGCCAGTTATAATAAATCTTGGTTCTAAAAGTTCATCTTCTGAACTTAAAAAAAAATGTGAATTTTTTAAAACCCTTTTTAATGTAGGCCAGTCAGTTCTAATATAGTGTGTGATAAAAGAGGTCACTTTTTGTTTACATTCACATAACACTTTATAACACTGAAATAATTAATTTATTTTTTACAATTATTCAAAGTAATTTTTCAATTAATCTTGAGCACGCCCATGGAGTGGTCGGAGGTACCAGTTAAAATTATGCTAATTACTCTCTCGTTCATAAAAATAAACTATAGTTATTAATGCATTATTTTATAGGGGTAGTGATTCCTATTAACTTTCATGAAGATCATGAAGAGTATGAAATAATGCATATATTAATTAATATTTATATATATCCGTACCTCGGAGGTAAAGGACACTATGTCCATTTTCTTACTTTTTCAGGAGAGCAGTTTTAACATTTTTTAAATTTTTAATCAGTAAATACTTAAATGTTTCTTATATTTAACCAAGATTAATATATTATTATTGTGATGTGTATAATCGTTTTTTCCTTCCATGAAGTGTTATGTACCTGAAGTTTACCGTTCATTATATATATATATATTTTTTAAATGTGTAGTTGGACATAGTGTTGTTTACCTCCAATAACTTTTTTAAATAATGTGACATTGCATGTTAAGGTCTCTACGAAATAAACAATAGAAATACACTAAACAGCCTATACTATTATTTTATTAGAGGTAAATATTATAATGTTATAATAATTAAATTAAGAAAGGTTAAATAAAGTAAAATTATAGACGACAAGTTTCAAAATTGTTAAAGAGGCTCCATATCATCTTCATCTTCTTGTGGGTAATCGTTTGTGGCTACATCGCTATGTGTTAAATTTTGATAAAGTGCATGACAAACTGACGGAAAAAGGCAGTAAGGTAATGAAGTCATTAAACTTTTGTTTTCTGATTGGTAGTGGGTTTACTGAGACTTGATTTAATTGAGCTGGAAACGTTAATTGCTGTCTTCGATACCTCATGAAGTGCACTTCATACATATTTTGATTATTGAAATCGGTCTTATAAAAGAGCTTCCCAATGTGTTCTTGTTTGACTTGTAGGAGTCAACACATGTTGACAGTAGAACAGGATCTTCATTAACATTTTTTTTGTACTTACAAAAGGATGATTAAGTGACAATTTCTTATCGAACAGCGTTTTGAAGTTTTTAAAATCTGCAAGTTCCATATTGTGCACTGTGTATTTACCTGATGTTTGGCTAACTAGCTGTTGCCAGTTCCATGGCGTTAAAATGGCCAAATTGGAGAGTTTCTTTTTGTTTCTCTCGATTAAAGCATAAACACTGTCTGCTTCCATATGTGTGTGCCCTTTCAGTAAAAACTTTTGAGTGATCGTCTTTATTTGAGGGTATATACGCAGTATCCAAAAATAGCACATTATAACACTTATATTTTTATTTTGTTCATAGCAGTTATCGTCCAAAGAGTGATGTCCTTTACTTGACTACCTGGAATTGTATCATGGAATTGTATAATGTCAGTCCATTTCAAAATTCACGAGGCAATTTCATTTGCACCTCGGAACCCTTTCGATTCGTCCCACATCATACATTGTACAGAAGAATCACTGCTTCTATAAAAGCTTCTTTTGTAGAAACTAATACCATTGTGAAAGCAATTGTATTAGTTTGCAAACTTGGAAATCTTTATTAAAAATACCTGCGTCGAATTACTTTTTTACTCTGAGCTTTGGATCTACATGTATTTCATTGCATTCATCAAAGTACAGTTGATACAACTTTTCTATCGTAAGTTCTGTGCCAAGATAATCTCTCTTACTCCTTTCTCTGGAATAATAAATCTCGCACTTTGGGAATGATTTAATATGTTGATGTATTCTATTTATGGTTTCGGTAGGAGTTTTATTGATTAGCGTGTGTCTACCTCTTTGATCAGCTTTTATTGAACCCCTGGCTCAATTTTTTTCAAGATATTTACTACTACTAAATTAGATATACAAAGTGTGTTTGAAAAAATAACCTTGCACACCCTCAATCGCTGATTGTTTACTGTAAAAAGGTAGTGTAGTGTATTATTTTAAGATTTGGTAGAATTTAGGTCTTTTTTTGTTAATCGAAGAGTAGTTGGATGTCGACACATGAGAAGATAAATTGCTTTTTAACATCTGAAACGTTTGTCTCAGTCCAGTATGAGTTGAAAATTTTTTGTCTTTCGTATTCTGACAATTTTTTAGAGCATTTCATGCGACACATGGAAGGAGGTTTTAACATTTTTGCAGGCATGTTTTTGCCTTTTTTACTGAGATACTCTTTCCCACCAGCTATTTTTGATTTGCAAACATTACAGACCCAATTTTATTCATTTACTACACGTTTTTTGTCTTTTTGTTTGCACTTAGTTACATTTTTATACCTTTCTTTTAACACTTTTCTCTTCTTCTAAAATAACTTCATTATGTTCATTGGAATTGCCTTCATCACTGCTTAGGACTAAATCGTCATTAAGAAGATTTTTTGTTATTGCCACACTAGTCGTAGGAGTAATAATAGCTTTCTCTTTTATCTATGTTTTCGCTGGTTTACTTATACGTCTCATATCATTGTCGCCTGATTCTGCGTTTAGAGGCTCATAGGTCATATCAATATCCGAATTATCATCTCCAAACAAATTATCATCTTCGTTCACTTCCTTATGGAAGTTACAGTAATGACCAGGTGGTTCTGAAACAAATCCAGCCTTGTAATAATAATTATAGACTAATTTTATAGGCCTATAATTGGCCAACACAAAAATAATTCTTATAACCAAAGACCGGAATTTACTGAACAATTTCCGTTACTTCCATTAAAAAAAATATAGATCTGGCAACATCTGTTTACCCTAATCTGTTGGTATCAACAACAACAATAATTTTAGGGGTACCGGTTACGCCTAACGGTAAATAAATTTTATCCAAATTTCTTGTAGTATTTTGTTCATACGAGTATATATTGATAATTGCTTGGTAAATTCCTGTCTATGCCTACGACACAATAATATAAATGGCAATGCATGTTACATAAATAACTGACAACAATCATACCATATTATGGTCATTTAAAAAAACAGACGAAATTCTTTACTATTTATAGTAACAAGAACATACTAACTGATACTTCTATTTTAACGGTAAATGGAAAAAATGTATGTACAGTTTGAAATTCTAAGCCCTATACAAAGTAATATACAATACTAAATATTTGAGGTTAGAAAAATACAAAATTAGTGTTAAAAACAATAGCTTACCTGTATCTAAGTGTTGTTTTATTTGGAATATTACATGACAGTTATCGTAATATTATTTTTCAACGAGAGTTCGGATCCATTTTACAATTATTAAACAACGAACTTATTGTACAACTTTTATCAACCTAACACAATTGCGATCTAAATAAAAAGGTTGCAATGATTTTAGATCATGATAATTCCGCCAGGTACAAGGGTACATAACACTATGTCCGGATGGTAAATGACGATGCACACATTTACTAGAGGTAAACAACACCAAGTCCACATGGTGTTGTTTACCTCTGACTGGAAGTGGACTTGGTGTTTATTAAAAAGTCGGTAACTTGCCGTAAAATTGTCTCTGGACATAGTATGGTTTACTATGTGTAGAGCCAGAAAAGTCATATTCAAAAGTGCAATAATCTAAAATTCGATAAAAATGGACATAGTGTCCTTTACCTCCGAGGTACGCATATATATATATATATATATATATATATATATAATATATATATATATATATATATATATATAAATTATAAATAGTTAGTATTATTATTTATTATTATATAATAATAATTAGATATAGATTATATATAGAAAGTCTGTAGCGGAAAGTAAGAACACTTCTCACAAAGGCACAAAACACCATCCATACAGTGCAGTAGAGACACAACATTACCGAGATATCAAGAGGAAAGAGGACTTATGGACATAGGTGAGCAACTAGATAAACAGATTGCTAATTTAAGAGCTTATTTTCAGGTGCAAACTGAGGACATCTACTTTAGATCGAGCAATTTGCGCAGTAGACGATATAACGCCACTTAAACTGAGGGAATAAGAAATGCGCATAAACCACCTGAATAAGCATGAAAAAACGCACTGGATGAGTAAACGCGCACCGGGATGAGTAAACCTTTGCATGGGCGACATGTCAATGAGATTAGCCAAGAATATGTCGACAATACAGCGTCGAACTATTGGTCGACATCAGGAAGGATGTTTCCCGAGACTGAGGGTTTACTACTTGCCATTCAGGATCAGGTTATTCCAACTAAAAATTACCTGAAATATATTTTTGAAGATCCTCTAATCCAAAATGACAAGTGCTGATATGAATGCCAAGCCCAAGAAACCATCCAACATATTACCCGTGGTTACCAGGAGCTTGTCGGTACTGATTATAAAGAACGCCATGACTCAGTAGGAAAGATTATCCACCAAGAACTAGCTGACAAACTGGGACTTCTCCAAACCGACCATCTTCCTAACTATCTATACGTACTTGACAGAATACTTAAAAATGACAACTACAAGCTATACTGGGACCACTGTCTGCTCAAGGACCAACCAGTGGCACATAATAGACCGGATCTCATACTAGTTAATAAACTTTCTAGGGAAACAACACTTATTGATGTGGCGATACCTAACACCAATAATTTGCGTGTTAAATACAACAAAAAGATCGCCAAATACAGAGATCTAGAAATACAAATCAGGAGATAATGGAGAATGGAAAGTACTCAGACACTACCTATTATTCTATCTACTACTGGTGTTATTCCTAAAAACCTATTATTGAACATAAAACAGCTGCGTCTAAATGAACATCTTTATAAGACTATGCAAAAAGCTGTACTACTCGCGACGTCCAGATGTGTACGAAAATTTTTGGCAGATACTCCAGCACATCAAGTCACCTAGGGCTCGATAACACGGAAAGAGTCCCACCAGAGCTCAATCCTTTTGATACCGTAGGTATTTGGGATGAGTGAATTTTCCCCTTAGAGGGAGTCTCAGCCGTACGGCTAAATCTGGACGATAACTATAAATTATAATTATATTCAAGTTTTCTGTGATACTACTCACAATAGATCTGTTGATACTTTCACCCTGATATTTTACTTTCGGAATATTTTACCGCAGTGTATGGCATTATATCAGGACAGTTATGTCGATAATCGAATCACTCGGTCATATTAAGAGGAACAGCAAAGGATATGGCTTGCTGCAGTTAATTCTATAAGAAAAAGTAGAAGGAAAACGAGGACCAGAAAGGCGAAGGCTTTCTTGGCAGAAAAATCTACCTACATAGTTTTAACACAACACCCACAAATCTTTTTAGAGCAGCAGTGTGCAAAATACAGATTGCCATGATGGTCCCAGCCATGGACGTATAAACACAGATGGACTCAGTTATTTACATAAAATTGTGAAGTCAAAATTATTTGAATAGGTCATATTCTGAGCACCTTCAACTGTTGTCACGTTTTGTTTTAAAATTTCTTATTCGCGAGTCGCTGAAAATATTACTCCGTATTTGATACTCTACAGGTGCTATCAAACCAAAATAATAATTTATTGGTTATATTAATATATTTAATTGTAATCAAAATATCAATTGTGCACATAGTGTGGCATTATCATTTAATAATAGCGTATAATAGATATCAATCAATTATTTTATATGTAGAACCACTGAAAACTATTTATAAATGGCAACGGTTGTTTACATTTCTCTGTCTTATGGATCTACGTCAAACTTCAAATGCTGTTCCATGTTTGTTTACTTTTTACAGTAAATGAGGAAAAAGTTATTTTTCGATATTTTGGCTGTATTTTGAGTGATATTTGTGAAAAGTGAAAATAAAATAAACGAAATATTTACATCCCGATCTCTCATTTCATTTGTAAGTACATACAATTTACATTATTTAAGATGAGGAAATGAGGAAGCGTGTTTGTTTACATTTTAATAGGCGTACCATTGGGTTTATTCATGTTCATTAATTATTGAATAAGATATAAGTTCATGAAATTAGTAGACATTTATAAATTGTAAGTAGACATCATCTGATTCAAAAATATCTGTTTAGTACCTTTTTAATTAATATTTCTCATGGATACAAATAAATTAGTGAAATGAATAAAACTCATTTATTTTTCTATGTAGGTTTCCAAATAATATTGACGATCGAACTATTTGGGTAGCAAATTAAGGAGAAAACATAAAGATTTTTTACTGTAGCATTTTTTTGATACTATTAAAAAATTAACTTGAATTCAACTATATTTAATTGTATTAATTTTAAAGCAAATAAAATTGTATTTTAATTTTTCTATAAAGACGTGATTTGTTAATAGTTAAACTCTCGTTTTTTTTTAATTCTTTGAACGTGTTTTTATACATTATTACTACTTCCAATTTTTAAAATCTGAATAATTACCCGCGAGTAAAAATTCAAGCACGCTTATGCTCATTGCGGAAGCATCACATTCTATCGAAGCTTCAAAACATTGTGTGTTAAAGGTATCTTATTGCTATGTCCATCTATGTTTATACGTCCATGGTCCCAGCATAATTTTGCCAACACACTACAAAGAAAATTGTAGTATTATTGCAGTATATTACCCATCCTCGCTTACATTTTTCTGTATAGGCCCGGATCCTTTTTAGCCAATTAGGGGGCACGTATCTTGAGTTATAGTTAATTAATATAAATAATATTATAAAAAAGGACAGTGTCTTTGTTTCAATCAATACCGTTGTTTAATTAATACTTACAACTTTCAACTGATATAGGACAGATCTGAGTATCCATGGGAAAATTAGAAAACTCCATTTGACAAGCTACAACAGCATGCACTTTTTGTAAATATCTTATGGTTTTATTTTTAAACAAAACAACTGATGCGTATTTGTGAGCCATAGTCGGCTTGTCTAAAAAGAAAAATATATTATTTTTTAAGATCAAACCACTATGTGGTATTTAAGTAGTAAAGGATGTACCTATCTTACATATCTGAAATAATTACAGAAATTCAAAAATCTAGAACTATCAAAAATATTATATCGCAATAAATATTTTTTTTTTCAATTAGACCAGTGTCGAAGCCTTTAAAAAAGGTAAAAAGTCAAAAAAAAATTATAGTAGAATAAAACCCATTGGAAAAAGAAGAGAATATACTAAAATTGGAAGAAAAAATAAATTACACTCCATCCGAGGTCGGGAAGTGGGGGGAGGGTTTAAGGGTAAATATCGGTTTATCACGATTTTAGGCGAAACTACAAGTGCTATGGAAAAAAGTTAAATAGCAAAGTTGTAGGTAACAAAAAGATCTAATTTTGTATTTACACTTTTTTCACATAACCTCAAAATTTTTGTGGAAAATTAAAAAAACTAAGTTTTTGATTTTTATTTTTATCTTAAAAAAAAATTTTTACGAAATTTGGTGAACTTGCCTTATTATGTATCAAATACACTGTAATTTTTTGGAATTAAGAATTAATTTTTTTACCTGATATTGATTTATTATCGAAAAAGCCCCCTAATTTTCAATCGAAAATTCACGTGTCAAAATATCAGCTTTTTTAAAAAAAAAAGTCGGTGGGGTTTTTGTTCGTTGAAATCTGCACTTTCCGATAGTGTAAAAAATATATACATTACTATGGAAATGTTAAAAAAAAGTAAAAACGAAGAAAACTCGAATCGAACAATTTTTTTTTCATGATTATGTACAATTAACTATAAACTATGATCATACTTGTGGAAGTTTGCAATGAAATGGAAGATTTTTGTAATGTTTCTTTTGCAACTACAGAGCAGCATATTGATTCACGGGAATATAGAAAAAAAAGAAATGTAGCTGATTTACAACTATTACATAAATTTTTCAACAGATATGATCCCTTTCCAGAAACTGATAAGATTATGTCAATATTTTCTGGAAATATTGGCAGTACTTTCTGTAAATTGTTACGAAGCGTTTGAAGAAGGAGAAAAATCTTTACAAGCTATTGTGGGAATGAATTTTGGCAGTGTCAAATTTAAAAGAAAAAACAAAGTGTTGTCTCTAAAAACCGTTCAATCTTCCGTTAAAGTAAACGGAGATATTATAGCAATCGATCCGTTATTGGTATTTCAACGAATATCTCTAATGATCGATAGTAAAAAAGATATGCAGGCTTATTTAAAATACGAACTTGCACCTTTTTCATTGTCACTTTTTACCGAAAATGGTCTCAGGAAAAACGTTAAATCTCAGCTCTACGAATTATTTGTGAGTATAAATGGACCAACACATTCTGACGGCATTGTGCATGTCGTTGACGGTGGATTTTTACTGCAAAAAGTAATTTGGCAGAAAAATTTAACGGTGGAAGAGATCATGAATGTATATTTTCGCTATGTCGAAAAACATTATGCAGCAGGCAGCCATTTCGTTTTTGACGGCTATCCCGAAATTGAAAAATCAGTAACTGTGACCAGCACCAGCAGCTCATTCAACTAAAAAAGGAGAACGTAGTCGTAGAAAAACCTCAGACAATATTCCAAAGTTTTATTATCAAAACCATACTAAAATACCATTTTTGAAGAAACATTTTTTATCAAACGAGAAAAACAAAGACAAAATAATCAAAACGTTAATGGAAATATTACAGTCACAAGGATTTTTCTGTAAACAAGCAGAAGAAGAAACTGATGCTGATATAATTAAGACTTCAATATTGATCTTTTGGTCTTTTGATTCAATTAAATGAAAATAATAATGACATATATTTTCTTAAACCAGGTTCTGGAACTGTAAAAGATGAATTTTTCACGTCGAATAGTTTCAAATATGAATCTTGCAAAAATATCATTGCATTTCTGCATTGTGGATGGTGTTCTGCAATAATAGTCTAAGCCACATATACATGGTTCAGAGTAAATGAACATATTGTGTCTACCTACTATAAGAAATTTACTGGTAGAAAATAAGGCTTTATTTTCACATTTTTATATTTCAATAATTACAGGCTATCTAAAAAACAGTACAAAAGCAAAATAAGTAAAACCAGTTTATTGCAAAAATAACTTAAAGCGGCTTAAACGGTTTTTGCAAAATTGTAAAAATATAAATGGTCATTTTGCAATAACCGTCTATTCCTCCGAAATGGTAAATACACAAAAAAAAACTTTGAATTCGAGTTCATTAGTAAAAGTAAGTACCTGCTACTGATTAAATTCCTACTCCATTTAATCTTGATCAATCTCGAAATCAGGATTTAACCCAATTGCTTCCAAATCATACCTATAATATTCCTATCATATTCCTAAAATATTTTGCTGACCAAAATTTTGACTATCAAACAACAGTTCCAATATTTTATATAATGAACAACTGGTTTCGTTATTTGATCAATGCAATTTTTTGTCGGCATTTATGGCACCAACATTTGAGTAATCGCAAAACATATTATGTTACCTTTTCGGTACACTATCTGCGATAAAAGGAATTTAAATCAATTGCCGAGCTGACAACACAGAAACGTAATTTACCATTAAAGATAAAGCCTCTAGTTTGGTGAAATTTTATTTATTTAAGTAAAATTGTGATATTAGCGTAATAATAAATTTCTTGTCTATTAATAAGTCAAAACAAAGATTTGTTCAATTTAATATTTGCATCTGATGCACACAATGAAAAGACCCTTACAAAGATTTGCAACAAGCGTCTAACCCACATATTTATAATGAAAACATGGGTTAGACTATTTTTACAAATTTCTGTTTTCATATTATTTGACGAATGTGGTTTAGAATTTAGTTCACAAACGCCTCCATGAGTATTAATATGGCTTATATCATTTTTGCTTGATGTAGTATGCATTATGATCAACAGTTTGACATGTCTAACCTCATTTGTAAACAAATGTGGGTTAGACGGTTGTTGCAAAACACCGTCCGTTTTAGGTTGCGATACAACATCTGAATTTGCCGGGAAAGGAAAGAAATATGCCGTAAATTTAATATTAGACGCTAAAAATTTGTCAAGTTTGCCTGTTCTGTCTGTTAACTGACAGCAACAGATTAGGACTGGAAACAACATTAATGAGGCATTATGCCCAAATTAACAGAAAAGGAATTGATCCCGGAAATACTGCTTAAAACTACATATTTAGGACTACATATCGTAGGAAAAAGCATACGAAGAAATTAATGATAATGATTCTGATGAAATTGTGGATGAGGAAGTAATGAAGACAGGAAACAATATTGGAGATGAAGACGGTGATGGTCTTGAAGATCTCGAAGATCTTCTAGAATCAGAAGACAACGAAGAAATGCCATCAAAGAGGGCAAAAACCTAATGCCCTAAAAAATTATGATAAATATAACATCATAAATATATATATATATATATAATAATATATATATATATATATATATAATATATATATATATATATATATATATATATTGTAAGATTGCCCATGACAAAAACCAGCTTTTTAATTGTTAAAAAAAAATCGTATAGCAGTCACATTTTCCTCAAAGTCACAATCCTATATTGAATATTTTTAACAGCTATTTTCACATGTCTTTTTGCAATCTTAATGTTTTGTGGATTAATTTTTTTGTTTATCAATGTATCATGAAATCTTAAGCTACATGACTAATTACAGTATTAATTATAAGAAATATCTCAAAATTGTACATAATGATGGAAAAAAAAATTGTTCGATTGAGTTTTTTTCTTCGTTTTTTTGCGTTTTTTGTGAACATTTCCCTTAGTAATGTATATTTTTTTACACTATCGGAAAGTAGAGATTGCAACGAACAAAAAGCCCACCGACTTTTTTTTAAAAAAGCTGATATCTTGACGCGTGAATTTTCGATTGAAAATTAGGGTGCTTTTTCGATAACAAATCGATATCAGGTAAAAAAATAATTTTTTCAATTCCAAAAAATTACAGTGTATTTCATACATACTAAAGCAAGTTTTCACCAAATGTAAAAAAAAAAAATTTTTTAAAGAAAAAATCAAAAACAATTTTGAGGTTATGTGAAAAAAGTGTAAATACAAAAGTTGTAGATCTTTTTGTTACCTACAACTTTGCTATTTACCTTTTTTCCATAGCACTTGTAGTTTCGCCGAAAATCGCGATAAACCCCGATTTTTACCCTTCACCCCCCCCCCCCACTTCCCGACCTCGATGAAGTGTAATTTATTTTTTCTTTCAATTTTAGCATATTCTCTTCTTTTTCCAATAGGTTTCATTCTACTATAATTTTTTTTGGTTCAAAAATTATCGACCCTGGTCTAAATAGAAAACTTGAGCACACGTATCGAATACAATGCGAGTCTTGTTCCATAACCTTTCGTTATACTTTAAGTAGGTGAAAGAAATTTACGTTAAATAACATTATGCAAGAATACTATTCATGTAAAAAAATGTAACAAAACATGCAAAACTATAAGCAAACGGGTTAATGATACGATACATATATTTATTTTGTACCTAAAATTTAGCAAAGCGTTAAACATTATGGAGAGTCAGTTCAATATTACATTTACCGGTAATCAAGTTAAAGTATAAATAACCATAGATAAATAATATAGTTGATAAATAACACGCGTCAATCTTTCAAACGTATTTGAACAATCCCCGTACTTCGTAGGAAATAGATGGAAGAAAAAGGGAGTGAAAGATACATCCCATCAAATAAATATTGGACATTGATATGTTATTCAAAATCACCAATATTCAACACGCTACTTGGAGGTCCCCTTCTAGCCGGTGGCGAAGGGTACAGATAAGAAACGCTACCGATGCATGCCAGTGCTGTACAGCAAAAATGTTTATTATTTTACGAAGTATAATTAAATCATTATACTGTCAATATAGCCTATTGCCATTTAATTATAAATTATTTTTGTTGCTTAATATGACATGTTAAAAAAAATTTATACACTTATGTACTTTACGACAGCTTTAAGCAAATTAAAATTGTCCTTTTTCTGTTCTACATTAATATATATTTGATTATAAAAATAAATGATGCGCCCCATGTCTGGTAATATGATATTATTCTTTTATTGTTTGTCGGCAAGCAGGTTTTTGGGTGTTTCAACTGACTAGAGATGGCGATTTTTGAAAAAACATCGGTTTTCGGTTATACCGGTTTTTTTTTTGCTTACGGTTTAACCTGGCAGTTATAACCGGCCAAAAAAACCGGTTTTTACAAAAACCGGTTTTTGGTTTTTTTAATCCAATAGATTAGAAAAAATCAGAAAAAGCCATTCACCCACTTTCAATGTCAAGAGTCAAGTGTGAAAAATAGATGATGTATAAATACCAGATCAGTTCTTACGTAAAAATATTATGATTACAAATACTTTTTCAACGAAATACTATAATAAAATTTAATTGTTTCTGGCTGATGTGAGCTTGCACTTTCCGTTTGCCTCTGTATTTATAAAATAAAATAAAAATTGAATTTTAGTTTTGTTTGGAATAATTACTTGAGAATAATAATTAAGATTGGGTGGGATCCAAAATAATACCTAACCTAATCCTAATCACTGTAAAAACCTAATAACCGGTTTTTAGTTTAAAAATAAAAAACCTGTTATAACCGGGACAAAAAAACAACCGATAAAACCGGTTATTTTGAAGTAAAAAAACTGGTTTTTCGGTTAAAACCAGTAGGTTTTTCCCATCCCTACAACTGACTTTATAAATACTCTACCAGTGCAGTTTACCGTGCCTTTTACTGCGACGAAAGGTTTTCTGCGAATTCCAATATTCGTTTAGAGGTGTTAGTTTGTTGAATGTACTGTGTAGATACATTATACAAAATTTTGAGATTAATTTTACCTTCAGTTCTAGAGTTTAAGAAGTACAAATCTGGTTGCCATAAATTCTGGAATATTCTCGATGACAAATGTACCGCGTCTCGATCAGACTCGTATATTTCATCTGGAATAGTAATTCTAGTATCTTGCCATTCTTGTTTAACGTACATATCTATGCTAAAAAGATATAATATAAATATTAAGAATATACCATTTTTATAAACATTTTTATAAAATGATGTCATTAATGCCGTTTAATACTTTGATGGAGTTCGGATCAATATATGAATAATAAACTTTACATTCGTTTAATTAAAGTATAGCAATAAGTGTTCTATCGCCAAGAATTCTATCAGATAATATTTAAGGTCTTCAAATTCTGCTTGATCGTATTCACGAGGTAGGAGAGGAAATGGGCATTAAAATAAACTCAAACAAAACCAAATTTTTAGTGTTTAGTCGTGACCCACAACCCGATGCGATTAAACGGAGTCCAAGTTGAGAAAGTTCACAAAATGACATATTTGGGAACTGTGATAACGGACCAACTAAATCCAGAAATAGAAATAAAACGTAGAATAGCAATGACTAAAACTACTTTTAAGAAAATGAAGTCATTTCTTTGCAATAACCATCTTAGTTGAGAACTAAGGCAAAGAATGGTTAAGTGCTATGTTTGGTCCGTACTTTTGTATAGTGCAGAAGTGTGGACCCTAAAAGTATTGATCATGAACAAAATTGAAGCATTGGAAATGTGGGTTCATAGATGAATGCTGAAGATACCTTGGAGAGCAAGGAAAACTAATGAAGAAGTACTAAGGAGCGTCAAAAAAGATAGAGAACTGCTAAAGACTGTTAAACATTGAAAAATGTCTTACTTGGGACTTATAGTAAGGGTAAGTCGATATAAAATATTACAACTGATCCTTAAAGGCAAAATAAAGGGCCGTAGAGGTGTAGGAGAAAACAAGTTTCTGGGTTAAAAAACATTCGTAAATGGAGTCAGATACCAAATGCACGACAACTATTCCATATTGTAGAAGATCGAGAAGCCTTCGCAATGGTGATCGCCAACGTCGGATAACTCTGATATGGCACGCGAAGAAGAAGAAGATCACAATAAGTATCTACCATTTGCTATAATTGTTAGGTATTGTAGTATATACCGCATACATGCCTTATTCTTAATGTAGTGATGCAGTGATGATATAGTGATTTACAGAGAAACTTACAGAGAGAATAGCTTTTACTGTATTAACTGTACTCGATTTTGGAATGAATAATACCACAGGTTTTATTGTCATTATGCATACATTATATGGAATAATAATCAATATTATTATATTTACGAATAGGTTGTACATGGTATAGATCTTCAATATTTAAATAATTTATTTTTAGATTTAAATAAATTAAACTCACCTAAATTCCATGCTGTTCACATCAATAGAACTTATAACATAAATTCGCATACTAAAACCAACTTCCATAGGTTCTCCAAATAGAGTAGGAGGTTTCATATCTAAAAAACGTAAATAACTTAAATACCAATAGATGTATTAAAAGGATGATGTATAGTATAAAAAACATATACATAACGTATAGTAGGACAGCCTGTCTGGAAAAGCTTTCACCACCAACACATGCGTTTTAGTCATTAATTATAGATTTGTTGCTTGAACGTGGCATACACTGACACATAAACACCATGCCTAATCAGCAACTCATCAAACAGTTGCACCACAACTGACTTTTTATACGATGAGATTTGTGCTGCTATTACAGCGCTCCCAAATCGTGAGGTATAACACCATCATGCCCATGGATTGTCCCAGAGATTGGCTACCTCTAGGAGTTAGAATCTTAGCACGGTATGGACGCACTTCTGTACTTAACACCATGTTATCCCGAGTTGTAATAATAAAAGGTACACGAGCCAAGAAGAGCTGGCCAAAGAAGGATCACAGAAATGAGTGCATTTTCTAAATACACAAATAAAAATATAAAAGATCACGTAGAGAGGCGACCCCGATTGCTTAATCTATCTTGCCCTAGATAATTCCAATCATATTAATATAAACAATTGCTCGTGGAACCAAGTCCATACCATGTGTCTGAAAGTAGGTATCTCCTAGAGGTAAATAGATGCAACAATGCTTTACACTATGGATCCTAAGACTGTAACGAGAAATTTAAGTAGATATAATTTGCACTTTAATTAACGTGATACAAATAGAAAAAAAAAGAAATCAGACATCTTCTTCCTCGGCCACATTCTGTCCACTCCTGAACATAGGCTTATTTCATATTCCTCCATGCCATGCTGTCTTCTATTATTTAAAATCACTCGAAAATACCTATTTCCTGCATATTTTTTGAAATCTTCAAGCTATCTCTTCTGGATCTTCTGGCGCTACGTTTTCTATGTCTTGGTTTGCCTGTTTATTTGTCTATCTGGTTTGATTTTGCCGAGTTACATGACGCACCCATTACAATTTCAGTTCTGCAGTTTTAACACTTAAGGGAATGGTTTGAATGCAGTAGTGCAGAACTTTTTAGAGCGGCAGTCAACAGAGTCCACATAGCCATGATGATTTCCAACCTTCGATAGAAGATGGAACTTAAAGAAGAAGAAGAAGTTTTAACACATCTGCAGTTTAGATTCTTTGACGGATTTCTTCATTTGTTTTTTGTCTCCAAGACTAATACCGAGCATTGTCCGTTCTATTTATCTTTGCATAACTCTTAAAAGATTTGCAGACTTTTGAAGCGAAGCTTCTATACTGGCGTTATAAAACTGTTTTTTTCTCTACAGTAAAATGTTGAGGAGAGCGTCACGGAACTAGCGCCACAAGATGGCGTCGTCATGGGTAGCGTCATAGAATGGCGGTAACAACATTGAACCATCTGTTTTAAATTTTTATAATAATTCGCGTCCCAAATAATTTCATACACCTAAATACAATTATTATTTTTAAAAATATTATTAAGTTTATATAATAATTAAATTTACTATCAAATTATATTTATTTATATTTTATTATTAATATTTGGTTTGAATTTGACAGATTTATCATAAGAATTCACGTATGCTTTGTTAATATGTTACCAGGTGGCTTTAGGATTAAACATAATAATTTATTGAATTTGTTTAAAATATAAAATATAATTAAATTTTAAATAAAAATTTAATAATTTTAAAAATATTATTTAACACATTGAGTGTTAAAAATTAAAAAAATAAAAAACCTGCAATTTAACTAAAAAAAAAAAAACAAAAACAAAAATGGCGACATGTTGGTCTCAAGCGGCCTCAGAGTTTCAATTTTTGCTGCCGGCAAAAAGCATGCTGATGTAATATATTCACAGATTTCGACTCGCAGAGGTTTACGTTACGGCGCCAACGTTATTTACAATATCGGATTGGTCATAGATTCTTTTTAAAGCACTATACTGTGTCATAGATAAGAAGGTGGGATTGGTTCAGTTGTTGTTGAACTTTGGTGAGTAAAGATGTCTATTTTTGAGAAGGAACAGCGATGTTTAGAAAAGTTATTGCAAGAATGTTTTTACGACGAAAAGGATGTGAACGATTTTGAACCCGACGGAACATCAGATGAATTTGAACCCGAATCAGAGAACGAGTCTGATTCTGATTCGTCAGATATCAGCCATGCAAGAAGAAGAAAGTTTTAACAAAAATATGTGGCTCAAAACGCACTGCCAATTTACACGAAGTGTAAATTGGCAGTGCGTTCCACAATTTGTGGCAAACGAAAATGGTACTGGATTTCGAGCGGAATTGTATGAAACTATATACAATAAAACTCTATACGATTTTTACAAATTGTTTGTAAATGTGGATATTATCATAAACTTAATGGTAATAGGCAAGAATATTTTTTTTTGATTTTTTAATTATTTTTCTACTTTTAGCTGACTGACTAGTGCAACTAACCGCTATGCTGACCAGTGCATTGAGAAAAACGATTATCCTAATTCTCGCGTAAAATCCTGGAAACAAACAAACTCAGATAAAATAGAAAAAACTATTCGGAATTATTCTTTGGATAGGTTTATGTCCATTTCTTAAAGTGATGAGCTATTGGTTTCGAGACAGAATATATAATAATTACATCTGCAAAGTTATGCCTCGCAACAGGTTTCAACTTTAACTCAAGATGCTCCATTTCAGCAATAATGAAATTTTGTCAGACGACAGCCTGCAAAAACTGACGCCCTTATTAGAAAAATTGACAATTACATTTCATGGCTCGATTGTACGTTCAGAAAATATATGTATCACCGTGTTAGTTCTGTTTAAAGGACGGCTAAAGTTTTTACAGTATATCAAAAACAAACGCCATAGCCAAAACAAAAAAATAGCCAATGTCAATATGTCAATTACTAAATTTAGAGAAGAAGTTGTAAAAGGACTATTGCGAGAAGGTGAAGATTTTACGCCAAATAATGAAGAGTCTGAGAGAGCCTTACATATACGGAATATGTTGGCCGAGTTAATAGAAGACGTTGCGTTATTTGTTATGCGAAGATCTCTGAACACTCGGGTTTCAAGGAGGCCTCAAGAAAAACCCCACAAAGTTCACTGAAGTGCTCTAATTATAAAAAACATTACTGTATATCTTGTTTTTTTTTTGTAGCGCATAACGCAACGAAAATATAAAATACCAAAGCCCTTGTTCCCTTTTTTTTAAGTTTTCATGTAGAGTAAAGTTTTTTTTTTTGTCAGTGTTCTATACAGCCTTATACGAGTTTTTTAAGACACACGTTTGTTAGGTAAGTACTTTGATAGACCATGATAACACCTGTTTGCAATTATTATTCGCGTTTTTATTTCCTCAGATGTGTTATTATTGGTGTTAACCGATGTCCCTAGATATATAAACTCTTTGACTGCTTCGAAGTTTTGGTCATTGATGATTAAATTTGAGTCAACATTTCCAGCTCTTGTGTTTGTGTTAGTCGCCATGAATTTGGTTTTATTTTGATTTATATGCATCGAGTTAGAATCTGTGGAGAGGGCATCACGTGACTAAAAACGACCTAACTTCGGCCATATTGGTATTATTGTTTTGAAACTTTTGACAGATCGTATATGTTTGGTTATATTTGTTGTTTTTCGAATATTTTCAGTTTTATAATAATTTTATAGAAACTGTAATGTATTGTGATAGTGCATAATAATGGTTTCTTGTTCTCAACGTAGTTGCAGTAGCAGAAGTAATGTTAATAAAAAATCTTCAGGAATATCGTTCCACAGGTTAGTATACAAATATGTAAATAAAGTAATGGCCCATACTTCAGAGAATAAATTAATACTATTTGACTGTATCAATTTATCTTTATATATAATATATCGTGTTTTTAGTGTTTACCGCGGGATAAATAAATCATAGTTTATTAAAAATTTATTGCAATTTTTTAGATTATCATTAAATCTTCTGAATAACTAGTCATATTTGTATAGTAGTTTTATAATTATTGAGTCTGGCCCTGATGTCACCGCCATATTGGTATTATTGTTAGCCACTCCTACCTATGCCGTTTTTAATACATACGTTAATATGCTCATAGCTTCTCCATAGATTCTAAGTGTAAAAACATAGTGGAGCATCGCACCTCGCCAGTCACATTGCTACGCAGTACGCACATTGCCGATTAAGAAACAATTTAATAGATTTACATAGCAGTGTGCATCACGGAGCATCGCACCTCGCCGGGAACATCGCTACGCATCTCGCTACGTTTTGAAGAGCAAAATAATTTGTTTTTCTGGATACAGTAGCATGAAAGTCACTACCTGATTGGCTGTTTCAAGGTTAACTTACCGTCGTATATCTTTTGCTCTCTATCTGCCAGCGGTTAGAAAACGGTTGGGATCATTTGCAGTTAGAAAACGTTTGATTCATGCACGATGGATAAAGAGCAATTAATTAATGAAATATTTAAAAAGCCCCCAATATGGGATCAGCGACACAAGGAACATCATAACCGCTACGTGCTAGACAAGGATTGGAAAACAGTAGCTAATAACTGCGGTGTTTCAGGTAAGCAATCAATTTGTTTGTTTCATCCTGTGTTATTATTTATATTCTAATTAGATAGGTATGTAATCGTACTAAGATATGTTCAAGATGCCATTTTTATTGATACATTTAATTGAATATTACAATTACGGAAGAGTTTTGTTACTAATAAAATATTGTTTAAATGCATTTCTCACCGAAGTAGCCTCTGCTGTTGAAGGATTATTTCTCCTACATGCTGAAATATTGGGCAACACACAGTCGAAGCTTTTATTATCTGTCGTAGCGTGAGTGACATGTTCTTGGTCCATTATTGTATTATGTAGAATACAAACTGCTTTAATAATTGCATCTGCAGTGTTGGGTTGTGTTTCAATGGCTTTCGTTAGTATTCTCCACTTCATTGTTAAAATTCCAAAAGCGCATTCGACTGTTTTACGCGCTCTAGATAGACTTTTGTTGAATAATTCAGTTTCTTCATTTAAATTATTTCTGGCAAATGGCTTCATTAAATTGGTTAACAAAGGGTACGCTTCATCGCCAATAAAAACATAAGGTGCCTTAATATTACTATTTGGTAACAACTCTTCTGTTGGAATATTCAACTTTTCACTGCTCATCAATTTGTACATATTAGAATTACGAAATGTTCCCCCATCACTTTGTTTACCATATGCACCTACTTCAATAAAAATAAATTTACAGTTCGCATCACTCACGGCTTGCAGCACAATGGAGAAATATTGCTTATAGTTGTAGTACATTGTTCCTGAATGAGTTGGACACTTTAGTCGAATGTGTTTACCATCAATTGACCCAAGACAGTGGGGAAATTTCCATCTATTATAAAATTGTTCGGCTATCTCTCGAAATTTTTCTTCTGTGGGCGGAATCATATGAAGGGGTTGCAAAACGTTCCACAATAAGGTGGTAATTTCTGGGACAATACGTGCTATGGTAGATGCTCCCATGCGAAAAGAAAAAGCCAGGCTCTTGTAAGAGTTTCCTGTCGCTAGGAATCTGTAAATGGAAATAAAAAATTTATCTGTAGTAATACTAATGTTTGGTAGTAATGTCAGCGTGACTAAACGTAATGTATTTGTTTCAGTTCCATTAGCTAAAAAATCTTGGAAAGCACTGCGTCAGCAGTTCAAAAGTCATTACGACCGACTGCCTGCATGCAGATCTGGAGATCCAGCACCAGAAGAGACAGTGGAATGGCCGTATTTTAAATCTTTATTATTTTTAAAAGACATTTTTACACAAAGACCCTTGAGTGGCAATTTGGAGGATAATGGAACTGAAGTAAACGAAGAGTCTGAAAGTCAAAATCGTCAAATTGAAGCTGAAGACGATGACCTTGAGTCCATTAATGAAAATCTATCTTCTCCGAATACCCCGGCTTCACACACTTCACTAACCTCTTTATCCACACAATCAACAGGCACACCCACCCCTACTAAAGAGCTTCTAGGATATAGAAAACGAACTTTACCCATGGAAACAATAGGTAAAGGCCTGTTAACTATAGAGAGGGAGAAGTTGCAGATTAAAAAAGGGAAACAAATGGCAATGGAAAAAAGAGGCAATGATGAAGATGTAGCGTTCTTTACTTCACTACTTCCGCATGTGAAACAGTTACCAGCACAGGAGAAACTGGGATTTAGAATTAAGGTGCAACAGTTACTGTGGGACAGTTTGTATGGCACAAAACCCCTTCCTTCTTGCGATCCACATATTACTGCATCCACTCATCATTCCCAAGAATCCACATCTTCATTTCTACCTGCATCCTCTCTTCATTCCCAAGCATCCACATCTTCATTTCGACCTGCACCCACTCATCATTCCCAAGCATCCACATCGTCATTTCGACCTGCATCTACTCATCATTGCCAAGCATCCACATCTTCATTTCGACCTGCATCCTCATCTCCTTTAGTTGTACCACAACCCAGCTCACATTCCAATGCATCATTTACATTTCCTACAGAATCTACCCAATCTATAAATACGTCACAAATTCCTATTCAGAAGCAGACACTCGCTTTTGAGGGCAATAATTCTAGTGAAGTACAAACTTTTGTATATGAATTTGAATAAAAAATATATTTAATTTCTTACCTGAGTGTTACTACTAATCTTTCTTCGGCGGATATTGGCTGGACATGAAAGTTACAGTAGTTTTTCTCAATTTTTGGTTCTATTTGTCGAAGAATGTAGATAAACGTTATTTGTGACATTCTTAAATAATCATAAAAACGATCTGGATAATGCTTAAGTTGCTGATATAATTTATAAAATTCACCCAGTTTCGTGCGCTCTCTCTGTACGGGATGTATATTCCACCTACGACTTCTTCCTCCAGTGGACGTTAACCACCACTTTACAGCAACACTAGATGAATCGCTATCACTTTCCGATTCGGATAACATATTTAGTACCGCTCTTAAACAGTTTCAGGTCTATACTACATGCAAGGTGAAATGCCTCGCTATGTTTTACCATGGCGAGTATGCAATTTGTGGCGATGTGCGCAGCGAGGTGCGTAGCAATGTGACTGGCGAGGTGCGATGCTCCACTATGTTTTTACACTAACTCGATGTTTATATGTAACCCCATTCGTTCTGCTGCTGCTACTAGCTCGGTTAGTATAAATTTTGTTCTCTATTAAATATTGTTCTCCTGCTATCTAAATTAGCGTCTCGTACAACTTTTTCTAAAGCGATATTAAAAAGCTGACACGCCAGCGCATCTCCCTGCCTTAACCCTATATGTATTTCAAATGGGGGTGACGAGTCGTTTTGAATTTTTACTGCTGATAGCATCTTCACCGTTGTCACTTTTATCAAAGTCCACAAAATTTACTAAACTTTATTATCACTACAGCTGTTTCGACAGAGTGTCTTTCTGAAGTGATCTATTTTTTGTATGCGTTTACACTTTATAGTCTTCAACTGAATAAGTTGAGGATGGGAGAACAGTTTGTCTCAAATTGGTCATTCAGAACTATATCTGTATATTTTTATTTGTTAATTTCCATAGATTCTAATAAAGATAGCTTAAAACCTTTATTTTGAATGTGAAGAATTTAAAATTGTTCTTCAAAAGTTTTGTTTTTCTATTATTGAAAGCCCTTTGTGTTCTGCTACACGTTTGTTAAAAGTTTTAGCAGTTTTTAGCAGTTTGACCGATATAAATTTTTGGGCAGTCGCCCTTTTGCTGAATATTGAAATAGAAAGCGAAACAAGACCAAAATATTAATACATATACCTTAAAATATAACTTACTTTTTAGGTAATCTTCAGGGATGAATTCACTTGTTTCGTTTGGCAAGAGTTGGTCCATATCCAAAGTACTTAACGTTTGAGTTTCCTCGAAAGCTTCGGTAACATGGCAGATAAATAATCTATAATTATTAAATATTGTATTATTTAGAAAACATGATCAGAAAATGTATAAACATATTTTGTTTACAAGCAAATGAAAATATATCTCCATGCACAAAAAAGCCATTATCAATAAAACACCTCTTCCTGTTGACATAAAAGAAACTCGAATTTCTCGCGAAAAGTCTTCCAAAACACGTCGAATATATAGCCTATACAAAATTCACAAACCCGATATTCTTTTACGTCCCATTGTCTGTGCATAAAACTACCCTTCACAAGCATTGGCGAAGTAATTGGCCAAAACTCTACCTTTAGCCGAAAATACTTCATCCTTCGTCAAAAATTATTTTCATTTTGTCGAACTTCTTAAACAATACCCTATCTCACCGTCAGACATTCAAGTAAGTTTCGATATCGTTTCACTCTATACAAACATTCCTATAGCCGAAACTCATTCTGCAAACTAAATACAGTATCCAGTAAGACCATTTACCTCTCAGTAAACATTGTATGCCAAACTTATTTCATCTTCCAAAATCAATTCTACAGACAAATAAATCTATCCACTATCTCCAGTAATTCCCAATATCTTTATGGAAGACTTCAAGACCCGAGCACTATTTACATCAATGCTTAAACCTAAGTTTTGGCTACGATATGTTGATGATACGTTCGTCATTTGGCCTCATAGCTGGGATGCTTTGATGTCTTACCAAACCCATTTGAATGGTATACACCCTAGTATAAAGTTCGCGATAGAGGTAGAAACTGATTTATCCCTACCTTTTCTCGACCAACCACGGGACAAATAGTTCAATTGTAAATGAGCTATAGGTCAGCAAACGGCCTTCCAGAAAAGTCTATATGTAACAATTAAAATACTTTGGACATTTATAAGAGCAGACACAGAAATTACGAGGAAAAACCTCAACAAGATGGATCGATCAAGTTACAGGGATATGCAAAAGACCTATACATATATGAGTTAAAAGAAATTACCAGACAGAAATCTTTGATCAGAGACGGACAACACACGACATCACGATGACCACTATTCTTCCTCCGCGGAATCAGGACTTTTTATCTTTGAATAGAAAAGATTAGAATACGATCTCCAAACTTATTTGTTATTTGTTGAACTAATAAAAATATAAATTCTGGTAATTCTGAAAGCATTTGAAGCAGCAAAATTTCCATCAACAAAATTAGAAAGCAAGGTTGCTGCATAGCTCCTTCTTTGCTCAAAGTTAACCTCAATGAAGCTATGACCACTTGAATTCCCTCAGACGGTGAAGTAGACATTGAATTATATGATTCGAAAACTAAATGAAGAATATACCAAATAGAGCCTCACTATAAACATGTCAAAAACTGAATATCTAGTATTAGGAAACGAAGCAAATGATCTGTACATGGAAGCAAAACTAATTAAAAAAACAGCAACTTTTAAATACCTAGGGGTATAATGTAGATCTGCTGGGGAAGTAATAATGAAATAAATTCGAGACTAGGTCAAGTGAGAGCAGAAACTAGACAACCAAATAGCCTTCTGTGGAGCAGTCAGATAACTAACAACGACAAAACGATTATCGAAAGCCTTGGACTGGATGGATCAGAATAAAACCACGGAGATGATTTTCTGCATAATTAGTAGAAGGGAGAAATTTTGATATCTTAGCACAGCTGGAGGCCGACACTTGAAGCTAAGCGACTAAATTGGTTTGAATATTTATAGCGAATGACCGGAGAGAGATGGCCAAAACGTTTGGGAATGGACGCCAATTAAAAGAAGAAAAGGGGAAGGTCGAAACCTGAAAAAACTGAAAAAGAGATGTAGATGAAGCAGTGGCATGGAAAACACAACAACAAGATTGTATAAAAAACGCTGGAAGCTAGGAAACGGAAGAGTTAAAACAAAAAAATACTTATAACAGCGTTTATTATTATCAAATAACAATAACAAACGATTTAATTTATGAAAAAAGCTTAATACTTTTTCCATGTGCATTTATCCCGCTGTTATCATCAAATACAAATAATAATACTCAATATATTCTTGGTATTTTTGAATAATATCCTTCAGTAATGACATACAGGAAATAAAACAAATCAAAGTAGACATATAAATTTTGTTCTAAATAATGAATACAAAATTTTCTTTTGATCTTATTAAAAGTTTTGTCAAATGAAATAAAGTATGCAATCCAAAGTAACTGAATAATGTACTTAGCCCATTGTTGATGTCCAGTTCTCTACCCTTTTACTGTGATTTTAACGTAACAGAAAAAAACTTACAAAATAACAATATAATATTTCATGTTCAACTAGCAGGATGAATTACTTTTAAAACTAAAAAATCAATATTTCCATGATACATAATATATAATAAATTTCACATTAGCACATTATCACATCTCTACTAATTTTATTACAATTTTATTGTCAAGAAGTCAATATTTATTTTTTCACTTCTTCAGTAATTAAGTCGATACACAATTTGGTTCAATATTTAACACTTTGCATTTAAAAAGTAATAGTGGCGCATCATATTTGTATTACATCACTGGAACCATTCACAAGATACGTGAAGCATCCTGTAAATAATTAATCTGCTCGAAATGATTTATATATTATTTACTCATGCTAATATGACATAAACATCTTAGAATTCCGCGAATAAAGTGAGAATAAAACATACAACTAAAAAAATAAGGATTGAAATAATATTTGTATATTATTTATTCACTCTATACTAAGCAAATTCACTCAGACGTAGCATACTACAACCTGCTTTAGCTGATCTGGAAAGTAGCAATATTTGCTATCGATATAATAATCAAGACATCCCAATTTCTTCCAATCCCAAAGTGAAGAAACTTACAAAGAAACTAATACTATATAATGGTTAAGAACAAGAACATGGCACTTACAGTAAGTGATTATGATTAGAGGAAAGGGATTACGATAGGGTGACATTTAGTGAAAATATTGAAAACTGATCATTCTGTGCAGTAGTGGTAGATCTGCTTTTAGTCAACGCCATTGATTATAAACCACCAACCAATATATTGGTGGTGGTTTATAATCAATAGTTGACGCTTAGAAATAATCTTTGTTTTTTCGACGTTAATTTGATTTACACATTACACACATTTTTTTCGGAATTTATAAAAACTTACAATACATCAAGGTAAGATGATTACATTTACTCCAATTATTTTTTTTTGTTAGTTTAATATTAGTTAATACATTTTATGCAAATTAAACGGTAATTGTGTGGCATAACATAACCAATAAAAATGCGTTTTATTTTTAACAGAAAAATCCTAATATGAGATACCTGTAGGTTCCAAATTTGAGAGTGTCTCAAATTAGGACTACGTGTAAAATTTTTATTTTTATGTGTTTTTTTGTTTGTAAATGCCGCCAAAAATTAAAAAATGGAACGCAAATGATATGATAAGGGCTGTAAATACAGTAAGAAATAGAGAGATGGGCTATTTAAAGGCCTCAAATTTTTGGAGTACCAAAAGGTACCTTAGAACGATATGTGAAATCAGACAAGACTCCAGAAGAACTCGTCGGGATATCAATTGGCCGCCGACCTAATCTTCCTTTGGAAACTCAATACCACATTGATTTAGCAGAGTGGAAAAATCAGACGGAAAGAAATGGTCGAGGCACTTTCTGAAAAGGCATCCGACGCTTTCAATGCGTACTCCTCAGGGAATTTCATGTGCTCGAGTAAAATCTTTTACTCCTGAAAGTGTATACAAGTTCTTTGACTTGTATGAACCAGAATATCTTAAGCCTACGAACCCTGTACAACGTATATTCAATGTAGACGAAACGGGCCTTACAATTGTTCAGCACAAACAAAACAAAGTAATTTCCTTGAGAGGGAAGAAGCAGGTTTCGTCACTTACTTCAGCAGAAAGGGGCAAGCTGATTACTGCTATTACATGTATGAATGCTGCAGGAGTTTTCGTACCACCATTATAAATCTTCCCCAGAAAAAATATGACAACAGAGTTGATGCTAGGAGCTCCCACTGGAGCAGTCGCAGAATGCCATGTATCAGGTTGGGTACAGGCCGATATTTTCACTAGATGGCTTCAACACTTCATAAAATTCACTAAACCTTCAGCTGCAGACCCTGTTCTTCTCGTCCTTGATGGCCACCATTCTCATACGAGAAACGTTGCTCTAATATATTTGGCCAAACAGAATCATGTGACGATTATTTGTCTCCCACCACATTCTACACATAAAATGCAACCGTTGGATGTTGCTTTTATGGCACCGCTGAAATCTTATCACTACGCCAAGAAATAAAAACTGGATTAGGGAAAATCAGTTAAGTGTTGCGTCGCCATTGCCAGTATTTTTTGTGAAGCGTATAACAAAGCTGCGACGATGGAAATATCTTTCAATGGTTTCTGAAAAACTGGACTGGTTCCTATTTGTCGCCATATTTTTAGAGACATTGAATTTGGAATTCAAGAGCACTTAGAAACACAAAACGAAAGGAACGAACAAATAATAGAACCAAACCATGAACAACCAAATCCTCCAATGCGAGAACATAGAACTCCTAGTTCACCACTTCCTTACAAACAACTTGTTCCTCCGAAAAACATCTGTCCAATCCCTACATTCTACAAGAGATATACCACGAAAAAACCACATGCCAGATCAGGAAAGGCTCTATTAATTCCTCTAACACTCTACAAAGAAGAATTAGAGCAAAGTTTGCAGAAGAAAAAAGCAAAAAAACTAGTACCCCAGCTAAACTTGGATTGTGTATTTGCTCCAGAAAAAACAGTTCAACAAAAGGTGTTAGATAAAAAAACAGCAACGCCCGAAGAAAAAATAGCAGATGAAGACGTAGGTCAACCTTCTACATCAAAAGACAAATCATCAAGAAGGAAGCGAAAAGTTTCTTCGAGTTTAAGCAAAGATAGCAGTGAAGACTTTCTATTAGCTGATTCATCGACCAACGAAAGTGAAAAAAAAAACGACGCCGAATGTTTATTTTGCACCGGCTAATTTTCCGACGATAGATATGGCGAACGATGGGCAAAGTGTTACCAATGTGGCAGGTGGGCACATGAAGACTGTGGAGAAATAAAGTCCAGCACATTTATTTGCCTTTTCTGCGAAGGAAAGGGCTTTTTTAAATAGTATCTCAAATTAAGGTACCTGTCTCAAGTTTAGATACCTGGCTATCCCAAATTAGAGCACCTTTTATTTTTAATATAAAATGTCGCAAAAAAACTTTAATGTATTTTTTTGTAAAAATATATGTTTTATTTGCTTTATTTTTTGTTGTTGTGTGCTAGAAACATTAAAATTAAGTTTGTGAAATAAATGTTTTAAAAACTTTTAAAAACAGTTATTGCTTTTTATATTTCATAACTACTAGACCGCAAAAGCCAAGGATTGCTGAAATATTTTAAGATAAAATTTTGAGATTATAATGACCAATAATTGTAGCATTTGTTCCCAAGATCTCGGTTCTGATGAGAAGCAAATCATAATATGCAACATACACATTGCAGAAAAGTACTCTGGCTTGTCCACATCCGAGATACGGGCAATCATTTTGCAGAAACGTCTACTTATATATTTTTGCTCTACCTGTCGTGATGCATTTAGGAGTGCTCCTATGTTTGTGCGAAAATTTTCAAGCTGGAAGAAGAAATTACCAGTTTCAAGAAAAGACTACATTAATGGAAAATAGCGACTCACAGACAACAACTAATTCAGTTTTTTATGAAGTACAACAACGTATAGCTAGAGCTCAAAATCTTATGATTTATAAAATTCCTGAATATAACTCTAATGTATCGGCTGATCGCATTAGCTATGACAATCTCAGCTGTGTAAGTTGTTTCGTTTACTTAACTTACAACAGGAGGAATCCACCATATAACATGTTATCCGAGTTGGCAAAGTGTCCAGTTTGGTGATTACAATCTTTCCAATGCATCAAGGGAGAATTATGAGTTTGGTGTAATGGTGCATTGTCCTGAATGTGATCCAGCTGTGAATATTGCTCAAACCTTTGGTTTGTTAAAATTGTATCAACAGAATAATATTCCTAATAATCGTAATGTATTTTTGGATTTAGTTTTATCTAATGTTAGGTAGCTAAATATCTTAAAAGCAAGCGATCCTGTTGTAGATCCTAGCATCCATTATGTGGGTTATGAATGTTGCTTAAACATCGATGTGAAAGAAACAAATATAAATAAGTTGGTTTATGATGAGTTGTTTTATGATTTTCGGAATGGTGATTACATTGCGCTTAACAACTTCCTTGCTTCCATAGACTAGCAGGTATGTGTGGTTAATTGATATTGCAACAAAATTATTCTATGAAGTTCTTTCTATAGGAATTGCTTACCTACTTTGTGCCATTGAAGAAATATAAAACTTATAGAACTTCAATTTTTCTGCTGATCTTAGAAGACTGACTCTGGAGAAAAAACATTCTCACTATTTACGTCTTTCAGGACTTGACACTAAGGACATCCAGATTATAAAAAATCTATATTGGAATCAAACAGCCCACATGAAGAATGGACATATGGTGAGTGAAAATGGCGTACCAATAAGTAATTTTCGATATGCAGATGATACTATTATACTGGCCGATAACATCGAAGATTTACAGATGGTGCTACATAGAGTTAATACAACTGGCAGCCAATTTGGACTGAAGATCAATAGAAAGAAAACTAAATTTATGGTGACCAGTAAAAAAAAATTTCAACATATCGACCTGCATATTGAAGACGAACGTATTGAAAGAGTTCACCGATTTAAATATCTGGGATATACAGAAAATGACAAGTGGGACCCAGAAGTAGAGATTAAGATCCGAATTGAAATAGCAAGATCCAAATTCATTAAAATGAGAAAGCTCTTAAGCAACCGCAACCTAAGCATTAACCTCCGATGGCGCGCCACGAAATGCTACGTACTCTCTACGCTACTTTACGGCGTAGAAGGGTGGACGTTAACAGCAGCAACTATAAAGAAGTTAGCGGCTCTAGAAATGTGGCTGTATCGACGCATACTGAGAATACCTTGGACAGACAGAGTGACCAACACAGAGGGAATGGGTAAAGAGGTGGAATTGTTAACAACTGTTAAAAGGAGGAAAGCGTCATACCTGGGCCATGTGTTCCGTAATGATAAGTACAGTCTGCTACAGCTTATCGTGGAAGGCAAGATTGAAGGTAGAAGAGGTTTTGGGCAGAAAGAAGAAATCCTGGCTGAGAAACTTGAGAGAATGGTTTCAAATACCAGAAGCTGCGAACATAATTCATGCG